AACAGATCGGTGACGGAAGCAGATAGGAAGTGGTGACATCAGAAATGGTGGGGGAGCAAAGAAGATGAGGAGGAGGAGGCTGGAGGTGACAAAGAGGTGGATTAGAATGGGGATCCAGAAACGACCGTCAGGTGAGAATAAAAAGGAGAGGAAGGGGCCCATGGTGGGGCTAGGCAAAGGAAGGGGAGTAAGGGAAACGATGAAGGCAAGGGCGCAATGCAATGTGTAGCCAGTGGCAACACGGAAATTTGCCGAAATGCCAAAACACGGAAAGTACTGAATGGAAAGCAAAGGTGAGCGCGACTAGATTTCCTAATAGAGGTGGTGCTGATCAGCCACAAGATTGAAAAAGGCAATATTAATTACTATTCCATGCGACACTGTGCCTGTGTGGCGCAAAGGCGAGTCTTTTTGAATATTCACTTTGTTATTGACACCTGTCCATGCTACCAATCAACTTTGGTGCATGACAGCGAAACTGGTGGCAAAGAGCTATGCACAACATAAAGACATTGACTTCAATGAAATATTTGCAGCTGTTGCAAAACTACTTTCCGTAAAAACTGTACTAGCCAACACCGCAAGTCAAGGATGGCACATACATCAAGTGGACGTCAAAAATGCTTATCTCAATGCAGAATTGAAAGAGAACGTATACATAAAACCACCACCAGGATATCTAAAACCAGAAGACAAGAACAAAGTTTGCAAGCTGAGAAAAAGCCTATACAGGTTAAAACAAGCCGGTCACAAATGGTACAAAACACTCTGTAACATAGGATTCATGAGATCAATGGTTGATCACACAGTGTTTGACTACCACAAACCAAACAAATCAGCCGTATTCTCAGTATTAACTGATGACACTGTTGTAACAGCAAATAACAAACAAACCATTAAATTGCTCAAAGAACAACTAGCCAAACAATATGAAGTGTCCGATCTACAAAGCATAAAATTGTTATTAGGATCCAGCATCGAATACAAACGAGAATCACATGCACTGTCCATATCCCAGAAGGCGTACATTGACACAATGGTTGAATACTTCGGGCTGAATGATGCAAAACCAGTTTCCACACCACTAGAACCAGGTGCAAACTACAGCTCTAAACAATCACCCAGCACACCCAAAAAGGTTGACAACATGCATAATCATCAGGAAAAACCCTTTTGCTATATAGCGCTATATAGCCACCACCTATATATATAAATACATTCATAGAAACTATAGTACTATCAGTGTAATCATAGCTCAGTAGTAGGCAAAAGTTTAACCAAGGGGAGAAATATCTATAATTCCTTCAAACTCTGGATTAATCTAATAAACTTGTTCAATAATAGAAAGAGGCCAAAAGTGTTTAGAGTCAAGTATATTATTATAGGCAAGATACTATAAGTGCTCTTATAGCCTATAGCAGCCTACATAGCTCCTATAGCTGTAAAGGTCATAGTTATAATATAGTTCAAGGTGCTTAAAAGGGCTAATAAATCATCCAGTATTAATCAATTATGTAGCCTATATTAGTGAAATAGTAGTTTGTATCCCTGATACTCACAAAATAAGAATAATGATTTATCCAAATATAAGTAGTGACAATGAGTAAAAAAATAAATCTAAGTCCATGAAAGGTCAATATATAACACCTGTATGATACATTTTATAAGCTCTCATGATGTAGTGGATAAATGTGATGTGTAGCTATAGGTTGCTTAGTCACCCAAGAGCTGACTAGCAGATTGAGAGTTCAGATCCTGTCTGTGTTAATTTTTTTCAATCAGCCACACAACAATTTCCAACATCTATAAGAGCATTTATAGAGCTATATAAGACTTTATAGATGGCAGAGGTTCTATAACAGGTTTGACCACTATAATAGCTTTATAAGTACTTATAGTGCTATAGAGCTATATATAGCTACCCCCATTTTTCCTGATGGAAAGAAGGGGATGGCTCCCCAATTTGTAAATAGACTTCTCAATTTGTTATCTGAAGTATGTATTTATATACAAAGCTGTGACTGTGGATTCGTCTTGGACCCACCTGACAATATAGCTGCTTTGAGCGCTAATTCAGAGGGTCAAGATGATGAAAGAGTTGATGCTAGAAATACTTACAATACCATTACTGTACCAGGGTCTCCCCTGGAGCGTGGCCCTGGTGAGACAAACAATAGGGTGCTTAATTTTGGTAAAAATAAAATAGAAAAACATGTTTCATTCGATACTTCTTCTTTTTCGGAGCCACCCTTTCCCAAAATCCCAAGGTGTGTGTTGATGCACACATATTTATTCCAAAAGGAGATCTGTTTAGACGTTGGCATGGAAAACCTTGCCCAAGGCATAGTACACCCAACTAGCGCACTGCTTAATTCAGGCACAAACAGCATCTTCATAGATCAGGTCTGGGCGGAGCAAGTTGGACTCCCCCTTGTAAAATTAGATGTATCTATTCCCGTCTATAACATTGACGGTACACTTAACGTGGGTGGCTGTATTACGCATAAATGTTCTTTTGTCGTCGAGTACCAAGGACACAGAGAATGAGTCACTGCCGAAGCTACCCAACTAGGGAATATTAATTTAATCTTAGGCTGGACCTGGCTATTTAAACACAATCCTGAGATTGACTGGCAGACAGGGGTTGTCACATTGTCACGTTGTCCTCAGGAGTGTAAGAACTTGGGTAAGCCAAGTCACGTCCGTCAAACTGAGCATCTTGAAAAGATAAACACTGGCCACGTTTATGAGCTCAGATCTTTAGAAAAGATCGATAATGACAATGACAAGGTAAAACCTGAGAAAGAGATTAAGAGGCTGGTACCTCCCGGGTACCATGACTTCTGCAAAGTCTTTTCAAAACATAAGTCAGAGCACTTCCCAGAGGCTAAGCCTTGGAACCATGCTATAGATTTGAAGGACACCTTCAAACCGAGAAAAGGACTCATGATACCACTTTTTGCTCCAGAAAGAGATGAGGTTTCTAGTTTCATAGACAAACAGCTTAGGAAGGGTTACATCAGACCTTCCAAGAGCCCTATGACATCCCCAGTGTTCTTCATTCCTAAAAAGGATGGTAAGAAGCGTATGATTATGGACTATTGTTACTTGAATGAGTACACGGTTAAAAATGTGTATCCGCTGCCTTTGATTAGTCAGCTAATAGACAAATTGGCTAGTGCCAAGATCTTAACAAAGATGGATCTCCGATGGGGGTACAATAATGTATGAATCAGAGAAAAAGATGCTTGGAAGGCTGCGTTCACGTGCCACCGAGGATCCTTTGAGCCCCTCGTTATGTTCTTTGGGTTGACCAATTCACTGGCAACCTTCCAGAGCATGATGAACGAGATCTTTGCAGATATGGAGAATTGTGTTGTCATTTACATTGACAATTTATTAATATTTACGAAGTCGGACAATGAGGCTGAGCATGACAGGATCGTGCAAGAAGTCCTTCAACGCTTACAGGAATGGGACCTATTCGTCAAACCCGAAAGATGTAATTTTAAAGTGAAGGAAGTAGACTCCCTCGGTATAATAATTGGCCAGAACGGAATCAGGATGGATCCTGGGAAAGTTCAAGCTATATTGGATTGGCCAGAACCTACTCTTGTCAAAGGAGTTAGGGCCTTCCTTGGCTTAGGCAGTTTCTACCGAATATTTATTGAAAACTTTGCAAAAATAACAAGACCGTTGAACAATCTCACAAAAAAAGACATTTTTTGGCACTGGGGTGCCAAAGAACAAGAAGCTTTTGATAAGCTTAAGCAGGCATTTACAACAGCCCGTATTAGCATTTCCAGAATTAGACAAAGAGTTCCGGCTAGAAACCAACTCTTCTGATTTTGCTACTGGAGCTTTTTTATCAATTAAATGCGCTGACAATCTTTGGAGGCCTTGTGCCTATTTATTACATAGTTTGTTGCTCACAGAGCGCAACTATCAAATTTACGATAAAGAGATGCTGGCCATCATTAGAGCTTTAGAGCACTGGCGGCACTACTTAGAAGGTGCTAGGCACCAATTTGAAATTTGGACCAATCATAAAAATCTGGAGTATTTTATGACGGCCTGAGACTTGAACCAAAGACAGGCTCGCTACGCAGTGTACTTGTCCAGGTTTAATTATAAATTAATTCATAAACCGGGAACTTTGATGGGGAAAGCGGACACTTTGTCCAGAAAAGAGGATCATGCCAACGGCATAGAAGATGATAACAAAGGTGTGACCCTGATAGACAAATCAAGGGTAGCCAATGTTAGAATTGGGCAGGATTCTGATCTTCTGGAAGTCTTCAAGAAAGACATCTCCTCAGAAGAGAAGGCGCGCCTTGACAGCAATGAAAATTATTTATGGGAAGCCGGGCTCTTCCGTTTTAAAGACAAAAATCTATGTGCCTGAGTCTGCAAGGATCAAGGCAATAGATAGACATCACAACACTCCAGTGGCTGGGCACCCGCAATGAACAATGGAGTTGATCTCCAGAAACTACATGTGGCCTGGCATGGTCAAAGACGTAAGGAATACGTAAAATTCTGTCTAAGATGTGCCATGGCTAAAAACTCACATCAACCACCGGCCAGGAAACTTATGCCAAGTCCGATACCAGCTGGTCCCTGGCAAGATATATCGATTGATTTTATGACAGATCTGCCTGAGTCAAACGGGTATGATTCAGTAATGGTGGTAGTAGATTGCTTCTCCAAAGAAGTAGTATTTCTTCCCACCAATAAAACTATTACCGCCGCCGGTACAGCAGACTTATTTAAGGATTTTGTATGGTCTATCCATGGATTACGGGAAATGGTTATCTCCGATAGGGGACCACAATTTGCTAGCGAGTTTACAAAAGAATTATGCCGGATGCTGGGCATCAAACCCAAATTATCAACGGTGTTCCATCCACAGACTGATGGACAAACAGAGAGGCTCAATCAGGAATTGAAGCAATACCTCCGGATATCTATTTGAGGTGACAAGATCATACCTCCCCAGAATGGGTGTAGAACCTGGCAAAAGCAAGAACAAGACTGCTGAGAACGTGGTCAAGGACATGAAATCTGTTTTAGACAAAACGTGCAAGGCGCTATTCAAAACTGCAGAGCAGATAAAAGACAGGGCAGAGCGTAGACGCTCTAAGGCCCCTGACTACAAGGTCGGCAACCTGGTCTGGTTAGATAGCGACCACTTAAAATTAAAAGATTGGCAGTCTAGAAAACTGACCGAAAAGTGGATTGGGCCTTACTAGATTAAGGAAGTCAAACCCAACATACTTGAGCTAGAACTCCCAAACAAAATGAGGGTAGTACCCACGGTCAACATTAGCCGGGTAAAACCCTACAAAGGACCGCTGCCGGGACAACACGTAGACCGGCCCGGACTGGTTGTAGTCACCCAGAAAGGTGAAGGAGAATTTGAAGTCAAACACGAGTGGTGGATGCACGCTTGAAGCATGGAAAATTAGAATTCCTAGTCCTTTGGAAGGGCTATGGAGACGAGGACAGAATGTGGGAACCAGAAGCCCATCTGGACAATTCCCGCAACGCTGTTTGCAAATTTTATTCTAAGAATCCCTCAGCTCCTAGGAAGCTTAGAGGCATGGATTCTAAACTTTTTAATTCCCTTTTTCAACATATGCCCAAAAATCTAACTACCACCTCCGATATCTGGTCGAGCCTGGAAGTCGAGCCTTGTGGGGGGGGGGGGGGGTAGTGTTACGATAACACATTTTTGGACCTTTAAATTTCATTCTCCTCTTTAACCTTTTACTGTAGTTTTCACACACTCTGTGCCATGTGGCACTTTCCCATTTGTTCAAACTCTACTTTCTCGTGCTGCACTGCTTTTCTTTCTATCTTAGATACAAGTCTCTCACGGGCTACACCCTTAGACATCATCAGCAACTGCCTCCATTAACTGTATAGTACATATATACAAACAAACCTGTAGTAGTATATATACCCCAATAGATCAAGGAGACTCCTCAGCGAGTCCTCCTGTTGTATCCTCACAACTAACTTGTTGAAGTCTAAAGGATAACCACTCTCTCATCATCATCTCTATTTGGTTCTAGTTGTGCGCCAGAGTAACTAACTCTTGTTGGTTACATCAACAAAGTAACTTAAGCTCCCAAAACACCACAGACTGAGAGAGGCTCTAGGCAATAACAAACTGAGGCAATGCAGGCAAGCTTCACAGTCTATAGGCTTGTTTTATCTGATAATGGACAGAGCAGAGAAGATTGGAGCTTTATGCACACACCAGATATGCCAAAAAGTGAAAAATAGGGCAAAAATTTGAAAATGAAGCAGAGACAGATGGGATGAATGGATTGGCACCAAATCAGAGGTATGGGCACCAGAAATATACTGGCTCAAATATCACAGGAAGTGAAGCACAGGAAGTGGAGATATGCAATAAAGGCCTGATAGGGGATCAAATGATGATAAGGGCACACAGGCAGATCCAGCTCAAATCCAATTGCCCTGATATGTCTCCTAGGGCTATTAGGGCCGTGGAACACAATGGTAAAAGTTTGAGGACAATTAAATAAGGATTGGGTGAGATATGGCAAAAATAAGACCAAAAAGGTGTCCAAAATAGCGGTAACAGACAACAAGCAGTTGTTGGAAGAGATGCAAGAGATAAGACCAGTAATCTGAGATAATAGATGGGTTAATCAGAGTCCCAGAAGACAAGAGTTTAAATAGATAAGCAGTAGGACACTTGGATGTTGAGATGTGAGGTCAGGAAGATGGCTAGAGTTTAGGGCTCATAACCTATTAAGAACAAAGATTAAGGGAAGTATCTAGCCACTGTGACAACACCAACAAGACACAGTCTTAAGGCACTGGAGCACAATGAAAACAACACTCAAAAGAAGAGGAAGAGGTGGGAGTGGTTACCCATTTGGTAGGAACAAGTTAATTGTTGGTAGACAACAGAAGGACTCGCTGAGTCCTTCCCCATGTAAAATACATGAGGTACTGTACAGTTGTAAATATAGTTTAAAGTCCGATGTTTAGCATGTGACCAGTCACATGATGAGTCTAGGCATTGGTCAGGTGTTGTGTCACATGACTTGGTCATGTGACTATAAAAAGTCGAAAATGTAAAGTAAAGTAAATGGTTACATGACTGGTCATGTGACTTGGAAAAATAAAAGTAAAAGTGCAAAAAGTGAAGCGTAAGTAGGTACTGGTACGTCAATTGTAACAGCCACTAGCTGAGAGCAATTAGGGACTAGAAACTAGAGTCCAACAAAGGAGCCACAGAGGCAAAATAATAGAGAACACAACCAATACTAAATGATATAGGAATAAATAGGGAAAGGAATGAAAATAAGTAGAAAGCACTAAGGTGCAGAATTACCAAAACTAACAGAAGAACAACTCACCAACCAATTCACACAGTTTTCAGACTTACAACTTTCTTTCTCTACTTTAACTTTCATTATGATTTTCAGACATTTGTGACATGTGGCACTTTCCTTTTATTTCAAATTCCACTTATACTTTCACTTTCTCACACTACATAGCTTCCTTTTATTTTTAGTTATACTTTCATCAACTGTACAGTATACATGTACAAATAGTCTGTAGTTGTATAAATACCCCAATAGATCAAGGAGACTCCTCAGTAACTTCTTCTGTTGTTTACTCACAACTAACTTGGTCCTACTCTAAAGGGTTTATCTACTCCTCCATCAACCCTCTTTGCTTGTTGTGGTCTGCGCCAGAGTATTCAAACTTTGGTTGTTACAATCAGACACTATTAAAAACCCTCCTAGAAATTGGCTTCACAAAATCAGCTGTTGAGCATGCAATATTTTATTGCCACCACACAGGCAACAACACTGTGCTTTTAGTGTCAACAGATTATCTGATTTGGGTGAGATTAAATGGCTACTAGGACTTAAGATAGACTACAAACGGGAATCCAGCATCACCTCAATATTGCAAACAGCATATATTGATGCTATGGTCAAACATTTTGGACTCACTGATGCAAAACCAGTAACCACATTATTAGAACCTGGGATGATGCTTGGAAATGACCAATCACTAGCCATGCCTAAACAATATGATGAAATGTGCAACGTCCCATACTAAGGGGCTGTAGGATGCCTCACATGGATAGCACTTGGATCACACTCAGATATAGCCTTCACTATGAACATCCTGGCTCAGTTCAACCAGAATCCGGGTAAACTTCACTGGGAATAAGTAAAATGAGTCATCCGGTATCTCAAGGGAACTTGTGAATTGACTCTGAAGTCAATCAAGGGTGAAAAACCCATCCTGTTAATATATTAATGCAGATCACACTTTGCAGGGACACTGTCACTCCATTTCTGGATATGTATTATTTTATGCAGGTCTCCAAATTGTCTGGGGCACAAAAGAAACAGTCCATAACTGCTCTTTTGAGTACTGAAGCTGAGTACATAGTAGCCACTCATGCTATTAAAGGCATCTTCTGGCTGCAAAGCCTCATAGGCAAAAATTGATAACCCACAGGTGAAACCACAAAGTGCCATAGCACTATCAAAGAACAACAAACTCCACCCTCAAACAAAGCACACACATATTTGTTACCATTTAATTTGAGAGGCTGTAGAGAATGATCAAGTCACTCTATTATTCTGTCCCACAGATGAGATGATAGCTGATCTATTAACTAAAACCCTACCTAGAGTCAAACATAAGATATTTGTCAACATAATAGGACTATGATATGATTGAAGAGGAGTGTTTGAGTTACAACAATCACTTACATAGACTCGGTAATATTTCCAGCTTCTTGCTTAATAATATGCACAGCCACATAGTGTAGAAATATTGGACCACACATCTGACTTCCTCAGCTTTACTAAGGCAGCCAGAGTTTACTTGAATATTCACAGACACTGCCTGCTCACATTAACAATAGGAGGACTTGCTGAGGAGTCTTCTTGATCTACTGGGGTCCATATACTGTTGCAAGATACAGTGACTCTAAAAACTGTTGCAATGTTGGGCCTAAATGCAACAGGTGTGGAAATTTTGCTTAGCTTTTGTGGGGTTGACAAAAGTACTTGGTCTTGGCTACGAAATTATTCCTGGGTCATATGATTTAGCCCAGTGGCTGTGGAGATATGTCAATTTCAAAACAGCGATATCATTGCAACAGATTTTTCGCATTTGGTATCAAAAGAGATATCTAGAGAATATCAGTACTTGGTATAGCCTCCTTTTGCCTTGAGCACTGCCTGAATCCTCCTAGGCATGCTTCAATTAAGTTGCAACACTCTGCAACTGCTATCTTCTCCTACTCCACTCAAATCCTCACCCACAACTCCTCCATCCCATTAGGAGGGTGTTCATACTCTACAAGCCTCCTCTTGAGGCAACTCGAGTCCCCATCAGCTCCAAATGTGCCAAGTAGCCACCATTGACCTCAGAGGCCCTCTCTACTCTGCAATATGGCTTGAACCTCAATGATACCTTTGATGTTGCTGTCTGCGCAGTTGCCATTGTCACCTTTTGGTCTTGTTGCAGGTTGCAAAATTTACTCCCCTCCTCTTTTTTTTTCCTCACCCTCTTTTCTTGCAGACTGGGAAAACTTATCATCCCCTCCACCACATCCTTCAATGCACAGGAACATGTATCCTACTTGATACTCCTTGTCCCTTTCCGCTGTCTAACCAACAGCACAAATTTTTTCACCATCCATATCCCCTTGTCTAAAACCACACAACAGAATGGAGCAAACATCAGCATTACTGCTTGTTTACACAACACCTGTCCTTTCTCTGCACTTCATCTCCACTTCTCAGTTAATTCCTCCATACCAAACTCAGCACCACTATTTGCATTAACTCAGACACAACCTGACTGAGTTCAGGGTGCAACAGGTGTGACATGGGGACAGCGGGAAATGTTCTGTTTTCACTGGGAATCAGTGCCTTCTGCTGCAACTCATTGGCAGCTGTAACAGCTGCCATGACTGTGTCAATGGCCAGTTTCCACTGGGAGAAATTGAAGCAGGCCCCAAGATGGGCATGAAGGAGGTTTTTGATCTCTGGTAATGAGCTGATGGTGCTATTTGTGAACTTGAGAATAATTAACCATGCTGCAGGATCACAGGTCAGATCATCCAAGTCCTTTCCTGCAATGTCACTTGTCTTAATCGTGTTTAGCAGGGGGAAAATATCTGAGAAAAATAAAATACACACAACATTGCAAAAGCGTGCTCCCAACAATTTTTAATGGTATCAGCACTGATACTGGCCCATGCTTCCTGTGCCATAAACATTACTTTGAGTAGATTAATCTTGTAGATGTCATCTTTACCCGCCTCATCAAGTTCAATTGTGCGAAGACAGAACATGCATTTGTAATGGGCCTTGAAGCAGCGGATAATGCCAGCGTCAAGTGGTTGAACAAATGAGGTCATGTCAGGTTCAAACATCTCAAGGCAGATGTTGGTTGGCTTGTATGCAATTGCATGCCCGGAAAAATTATCCAGCCATAGACAGACCTTCTACTTTTGATCTCTGAAAACTTTGTCATAATATTTTATCCACCTTTTAACAGATCAGTCATTTTTGGCCTCGTTCAAGTAATATGAAACTTACTCCTCAAAGATTTCAGAGGTCATGCATGCTATTTTATTGTTACGGTACCAGAACCCATGCTCTGCTGGCAATTTCTTTCCAAAATAGCAGGGCTGCTTTGACTTGCCAATGTTGAAAATTGGCCATTTTTCCATTCCCTTTGCATTGCACATGAATCCCACAGTGATGCAAAATTTTCGGGATTTTTTTCCTGACATCTGTTTTGATGCAATTTCATGATCAGGAGGGGCACTTGTGGGGAGTTAGCTTTCTTAACTCTGCTTCAAGTTTAAATTCTTTACAAGCCAAATAGGCCCAACTCATCAAAGTTTATCTCTCATCCTTTGGCACCTCTAACACATTCTCAAATTCCTGCGCTTTGCAATCAGCATTGGACCACTAACATGCTCCCCCTTTTCTTCTATATGCCTGACCCATTTGAAAAAGGCCCCATCAACATCAGGGTGAGTCACCACATGGATCTGTTTGACTGACAATGCAGTTGGATTTGAGTTCAGCTGTCTTTTATCCTCCTCACAGCCTTTCTGAGACAAGTGACAAGATAAGGCTAATTGAGTGAAAATTAGGGCACCATCTTCTTTATTTGTGAAGTGTTTGACAACATGTTCTTGGGAGATAGGCTGGTGTTTATTGTGATAGGCAACAATAACCAGCCAATCACTGAGTGTAGGATTGTGATGAGAGTGCTTCTGCAGCGTGATGGCAGATTTCTTGGGTGGTGCTGACTGTTCAATGGGATTGGGGGTTTTGGAGCACCGTTATATGGCTTGGGGCAAGCTAGCCATGTGTAGTTATACTGATACCCCCCCAGTTTTCCTAATATGGTAGTACATAATAACTCCCCAAATTAGTATGCATTATGGAATAAGAGATTTTATGCATAATTTGGCAGGGACAGATGTGGTTTCCAGGTCTGATCATGCATTATGAGGTCTGATGCACTATGATGCTATGCACTATGAGGTATTGTACTGTAGTTGTTTTGCAGTATATACTTCTGGATAGGGTGATATGTGGTACAATAGTGCAGAACCACTATTGTGCATTAGAGCACCATACTAAGAGTGCCACATCAATCCCCAGATCTTGAGCCATCTGGAATCACATAAGGCTATTGCCATAATAAGCCAGCTCTACTTACAAAAATGCATTCTAATGTATTTGACAAATTTATTAAGAACAAACCTTAAGAGAAATGTCTAGCCACTTAATAAGAGCTATCAGAGACTAGAGTCCAATGTGAGTAACTAGAGAATAGGATGCATAGGAGTATACAGTACTGTCTAAATTTTTTTTAACAAAGGTAAACAAATGAGCCACAGAGGCAAAATAATAGAGAACACAATTAGTATTAAATGAATGGAAATAGGTAAAAATATAAATGGCACTATTAGGTGCAGAATCACCAAAACTAATGCAATTCCAGATCATTGTCCCAGTCACTATTGTTATCTGCACATCTTATTCCTCCACGTTGCAGCCCTTTGGTGACTAAACACTTTATCCACCAAAGGACTCATTTTGATGTAACCCAGCAAGCATAACCAACTTTTGTCATACTCATAATTGATGGAAAAGTCTGAAAGTAGCTAAAATATTTGATTGCATTTTGGACCTACAAAATGATGTCTTTTTGTTGACATATTCCTATAAATACTATATTTTTGTGTGAATATGTAGAAATATGTTAACAAAAATACACTATTCTGATAAAGTCTTGTAGGTCCAAAATGCAATTGAACATTTTAACTACTTTCAGACTTTTTCATTGATTTTGGGTGTGACAAAAGTTGGTTATGCTTGCTGTGTAAGAGCTCTCATTATGGCATCATCCCAAGTTTGAAGTCTCTCCTTTGTTCCTGTTGTTATTGAAGATGGGAGAATAGGATTTTATTTGCAAAAAGTTCCTTCCACAGTGTGTATTTGTGCCAAACACATAGGAGAGCTTAGCTCAGTGTCACTGTTAGAGGAAAACAGTAGTAGCAGCAGAAGTAAGGTTGTTTTAACAATAACTTCAGAGACATTATCATTTAGGAGTGATTACAAAGGTTACTATGACAATGGGAGTAGTCTTTAGATAATAGTCTACAAAAATATTTGTACTGTAATTGATTATACTTGATCTACTGTCCCACGAGTCTGGTGAACCTGAAAAGAACAGCCAATTGCCTTATGAAAGACTAAGACAACTGGCAACTGCCCTCTGCCCTTGATGTTTCTATTGATCACTATTAAGATACACAACTTTTGGACCTTTAAATTTCATTCTCCACTTTAACTTTCTTTTGTAGTTTTCACACACTATGCCATGCAGCACTTTCCATTTTGTTCAAACTCCACTTTCTTGTGCTGCACTGCTTTCTTTTATTTTTAGCTACAAGTCTCACACAGTGGAGCTGGTCACACGGGCTGTGCCCTATGACATCATCAGCCACTGCCTTCATCAACTGTATAGTACACATGTACAAATAGTCTGTAGTAGTATAAATACCCCAATAGATCAAGGAGACTCCTCAGCGAGTCCTCCTGTTATTTACCCATAACAAACTCAGTCCTACCTGAGGGAGATTATCCTCTCCTTCATTCACCCTCCTTGCTTGTCTTTGATGTGCACCAGAGTATACAAACTTTGGTTGTTGCAACTGCACTGATGTCTGATATGACTATAATTCACTCCCTTATGTTAACAACTAAATTACCCTTTGCTCCGATCCTCATGACTAGAAGATCCCCAACGGACTTTGCACCTTGGTTCAAATGTAATACCAACATATTCATTGGGAGATAACAGTGCCATTTGTAAAATATAGTGAATCAATGTAGATGGCAGCCTTCGTGAACATGAACCACACAATGGTGGATATAAGGTTGTGTAGTTGCATTCCAAGCATTTATTTGGCATAGAGGTATCTATTGGGGTGTTGGGCCAAACTTGTGGTACAGGTGGTGATCTTGGCAAGACAGGGTTTACTATGCATCATTGCATAAAACCAGCATTTGAGCTTTATTTCAGACATCTATAGTTTATCTGTGAGAAACATTTATATATATTGAGCTACAACCACTCACATCTCGTGTTAGTGGCTGGAATATCCAACAGTTAGGCATTGCATTTAGTTAACAAGAAGTGTGATTGTGGGATTGACAATGGTGGTGCACCTGCAAGATGGAATATTTGAACATTTCAGCTCATTACACTGGAAAAGGACAAGAAATAACACTAACAAAAAGCAATTATTGTTTCTTGTTCTGTAATTGCAATATTAGACTCATAATTCTGTATTGGTCATGAGTGGTCATAGAATGCTACTGCTCTATTGTGCAGTTTTCATTTATTCCCTATCCAAAGCCAGGTACTGTCCTGTTTGCCTAACATATTAAAAGATCAACACTTGCACAAAGAGTAGAGAAACCAAACAAGGAATGAATACTCGAGTAACACCTCCGGGATACCCACAGTATCAACGCAAATGCACCATACAGATATTCAGACCCAAGAAGCAACCAAAAGGTCCTGTGGGTTATTCCAATCTACTCTCTAAAGTTGTGTAGTGAATTGGGTACTAAGAAAACATTGTAGACAATCTGCAAGAACAATGCTGGTTATGTATTACATTGTTCTTTTTTGCTTTTTTACTGACCGTTTCCTCTGCCCTTTCCATTCCTGTTATTATATTACATCCTCGTGTTCTTCTTCTTTTCATTCCCTTTTTCCTTTGTTTCATTTTGCTTGATCACCTCCATTATATCTGATATTGTTTCAAATCTACAGTACCAGCTCTTTCATTACATATAAATGGTGTATGTTCACCAGTAACTTGAAATACTGCATATATTGAAGTCTACCTCTATCAAATCCACTGATTATTATTTGGTCTCATAGATACCCGTGTTTTTGTAACTACCGAGGACACTATAGCCATTACTAGTACCCATATGTTGTGTTACACATATCACTAAACGGGAACACAGACTGCATCACTTCATTGTAAGAGTATCACCTTGATGTTGATATATATACTAAATTTTCATAGACACTGTATAGTTACCTCACAAAAATTATCATCCATAGTGGACTTGTCTTGGTATTTTCCCCTGCTTTTGTGACTTTGTTCCTTTCACACAAATCAGTATTGTCTACATATTTTATGAAGGCTCTTGAAGGCTCTCTGAATTTGAAGGTGGACAAACCACTGGTGAGCGTTCCATGATACAAAAGCAGGCTCAGATAATGTTCTACAATTAAACGTCAATATGAAAATCAGAATCCACATGGTATCACTGTTCTGTGCAGTATCTATGGGCAGCTATCATACAATCCAACTATACCCCTAGTTCATGATTATAAAGACTTTCTATAGCACTTCTGATGGTACAAATTGATGAAGTAAACCAGTGCTGTAAAGTTGAGATAGTGTGAGCTTGGCTACATGATTATCTAATAGTTTGGCCCAGTAAAGAGTTTCAACTGTTAGCATTCTCATCGTCTATCACTTGATAATGTTAACAGTAAAGTGATGTTTAAGTTGGCCACACACATCAATGCTTATATTCAAGCCTCTGCCAACGTCAACCGCAACTTACCACTTTACTTTACTAGCATTTTCATGATTAGTCCTTTCATGCGTCCCCTACCAATTCTATTAGCCATAACAGGACATCATAAAGCCCCCCCAAACAATGGACACAATATCTGCATTGGCAGCCGTTCAGGCTCTCATGCATCACAACTTGTGTTGTGATGCCTGGCACATTTGTATGATAGAAAGAGAGGGCATGCATGAGAGTTATAGGAAAATGACTGATTAGCATTTTGGTGAAGAAGCATATAGTTTATGGATGGGATTTGTCGATGCTACTATGTGTGACCTATGCAATGCCATATCTTATGTACTATTCACTTTTGTCTATTTTCTCTAACACACAATTAAGCTACAACTTTAGACAATATGGATGGTGGTATCACTCTTTGTTTGCGTCTTTGGGAGTGTGGCCAACAGAAAGAACAAAAGGTTCCACCAAACTAGAACACATTGTCTGTAACAAGCAAGAGTTTGTATACTCTGGCGCACAACTCAGACAAGCTACAGTGAAGTGAGTGAGAGTGGTTACCCCTTATGATAGGACCAAGTTAGTTGTGGGTAAACAACAGGAGGACTCACTGAGGAGTCTCCTTGATCTATTGGTTTTTATATCCATCTACAGGATAATTGTACATGTGTACTATACAGTTGATGAAGGCAGTGGTTGATGATGTCATAGGGCACAGCTTGTGTGACCAGCTCCACTGCGTGAGATACTTGTAGCTAAAAATAAAGAAAGTCAGCGCAGCACGAGAAGGTGGAGTTTGAACAAAATGGAAAGTGCCACATGGCATAGTGTGTGAAAACTACAAAAGAAAGTTAAAGTGGAGGATGAAATTTAAAGGTCCAAAAATTGTGTATCGTAACACTACCCCCCTTCTAAGGCTTGATTTCCAGGAAAGACCAAGTACTGGAGGTAGTAGTGATATTTTTGTGCATAGGTTAGAAAAGGGAATTGAAAAAGGTTGAATCCATGCCTCTAAGCTTCCTAGGAGCTGAGGGATTCTTAGAATAAAATTGTTGAACAGCGTTGTGGGAATTGTCCAGATGGGCTTCTGGTTCTCACTTTCTGTCCTTGTCTCCATAGCCCTTCCATAGGACCAGGAACTCTAATTTTCCATGCTTCAAGTGTGCATACACCACCTGTTTTACTTCAAATTCTTCTTCACCTTCCTAGGTGACTACAACCAGTCCAGGCCTGTCTACATGCTGTTCCAGCAGCAGCCCTTTGTAGGGTTTCACACAGCTAATATTGACCGTGGGAACTACCCTCATTTTGTTTGGGAGTTCTAGCTCAAGTATGTTGGGTTTGACTTCCTTAATCTGGTAAGGCCCGATCCACTTTTTGGTCAGTTTTCTAGACTAATCTTTTATTTTTAAGTGGTTGGTATCTAACCAGACAAGGTTGCTGACCTTGTAGTCAGGGGCCTTAGAGTGTCTACGCTCTGCCCTGTCTTTCATCTGCTCTGCAGTTTTGAATAGTGCCTTATGCATTTCATCTAAGGCAGACTTCATGTCTTTGACCATGTTCTCAGCAGTTTTGTTCTTGCTTTTTCCAGGTTCTACACCCATTCTGGGGAGGTAGAACCTTGTAACCTCAAATGGTGCTTTCCCTGTAGCCGATAACTGTTTGATATTGTATAAGAACTGGGCTATCTTTAGCCACTTCACCCAATCCATCTCTCTGTTATTAATAAATAGACGAAGGTATTGCTTCAACTCCTGGTTGAGCCTCTCCGTTTGTCCATCTGTTTGCAGATGGAATGCCATTGATAATTTAGGTTTGATGCCCAGCATCCGGCATAGATTTTTTGTAAATTTGCTAGCATATGAAGGCCTCCATTTGGAGATAGCCTTTTCTGGCAACCTGTGGGTAGACCATACAAAATCTCAAAATAAATCTACTGCACCAGTCGCTGTAATAATTTTATTGGTGGGAATGAATACCACTTCTTTGGAGAAGCAATCCACAACCACCATTACTGAATCATATCTATTTGATTTGAGGTTTGAGGGATCCTTGGAGGCACGTGAAAGGGGCTTTTCAAGCATTTTTTTCTTTGATGTGTACATTATTGTACTCCCATCAGAGGTCCACCTTTGTCAAGGTCTTGGCACCAGCCAACTTGTCTACTAACTGACAGACCAAAAACAACAGATACACATTTTTAACCATGTACTCATTTAGATAACAATAGTCCATAATCATATACTTCTTACCGTCCTTTTTAGGAATGAAGGACACCGGGGATGTCAAAGGGCTCTTGGAAGGTCTAATATAACTCTTCCTTAGCTGTTTATCTTTGACACTAGATACCTTATCTCTTTTGGAGCAGAGAGGGGAATCATGTGTCCGTTTCGGGGTTTAAAGGTGTCCTTCAAATCTATAGCATGGTCCCAAGGCTTAGCCCCTGGGAAGCGCTCTAATCTGTGTTTTAAAAAGACTTTGCAGAAGTCATGGTACTCTGGAGGTACCAGCCTCTTAATCTCTTCCTCAGGTTTCACCTCATGATTGTCATCATCAATCTTACCCAAGTTATGACACTTCTGAGGGCAACGTGACAATGTGACAACCTCTGTCTGCCAGTTGATCTCAGGATCGTGTTTCAATAGCCAGGTCCAACCTACAATTAAATTAATCTCCCCTAGTTGGGTAGCTTCAGTGGTGACTCGTTCCCTGTGTCCTTGATACTCAACAACAACAAAAGAACATTTGTGTGTAATGTAGCCACCTGCGTTAAGCATACTGTCAATGTTATAGACGGGAATAGATACATCTAATTTTACAATGAGGAGTCCGACGTGCTCCACCCAGACCTGATCTATGAAGATGCCGCTGGTTGGGTGTACTATGCCCCAGGCAAGGTCTTCCACACCAACATCTAAACAGATCTCTCTTTGGAGTAAATCTGTGTGCATCAACACACGCCTTGGGATTTGGTTGGAAAGTGGCTCCAGAGAAGAAGAAGAAGAAAATTAAAAGGAATATGTTTTTCTACTTTAGGTTTTTCTATATTTTTATTTTTATTTTTACCAGAATCAAGCACTCTAGTGTTTGTTTTGCCAGGGCCATGCTCCTGGGGAGACACTGGTGCAGTGGTGATATCATAAATATTACAGTCACAATTCTTCATACAAGGACATACTTCAGATAGTAAATTTAGAAATTTATTTACAAATTGTGGAGCCACCCCCTTTCCTTTATTGCTTGTGCAACACCCCAGAGCAGGGGCCACCTTGTTGTGGTTTACTTCATTGTTAAGAGGAGTGAAGGCACCCAAGTGACCTAAGCTCCAAACTCTTTTCCCTGAGATTTCATTTCAGCGACCTGTTGGTCGTAAAAAAAGGCTTGGATTTCTGATTGTCTGGCTTTTTTGTTTCTAATTGGCGCATCTGGCGCCCTTGGTTATTTTTTTGTTGGGCAGCCTGCACCCCATTTTCACAGTCTCAGGACATGTGTCCCTCTTGGCCGCAATTGTAGCAGTTCCCTTTGAATCTGCACATCTGTCCGCCTTGGACCACACCAATATCCATAGGGGCTCCCTGCCCTGGTTGCAGCCCGAACAGCTTAAACCCGTGAGAATGATTTTTATTTTGGTTTGATGACCCAGGGCACCTCTGGGAATAGTTGTTTTTGGTGGACCCACCACTGAATTGCATTTTGTAGAGCTCAATGGCCCTACCTACTTTGCGAACTTCTTCTGCTGCTTGCGTGAGGTTCTTGTTTCTCATATCCTGCAGATAAAGCTGTTCTGCAATGTGGGGGTTCACATTGCGTTCTAGGAGCTCTACTGCATGTTTATTACCTAGACCCCCTTGGATGGAGAGGGCCAGGAACCGGGTTACAAAATCATCTGTCCTTATGTTTCCTTGTTTGAAGGAACAGATTTGCTGGCGCACCCAATCACACTCAGCTTGGGGTTTGAAATATTTCTCAATCTCCCCCTTGAGATTGTCCCAGGTAAGCCAGTGATTGGCCGTGGAGCACTCCTGGAGTTGTACTTCGGTGTATTGACCTGCCACAGGTCCTTTTAGTCTTGATAGTACAGCTGTTGCTATCTTGAAATCATCAGCAAATACAACCCAGTTCGCCTTGATCCAAATTTGAAGCTTGATCCACCATTTGGCAAATCTAGCCCGGTCTCCTTCAAAAGTGCCGGGGTCAGTGACAATTTCAACTTTCTTGTTGAATTTTTGCTTAACTGCTTCAGGGGGGTTTGTTTGAAGCTCGCTGAGCTGTGTGGGCAATAACAAAATCTGTACACGCATGTTGTGTAACAGAGTGTTGACATTGGGTTGTGGTTGCAACAACATGTTATCTCGTTCTCTTTGTAAATGTAAAAAAAGTGTAACTGGGGGTCCCCACTTGCTATCTGTGGATCTACCTCTTCCCAGCTGAGTAACGGGTCTCAATCCCTGACTACCCATACTATAGTAAATAAAAGGTATGTAAAAATGTAAACATAATAAACCCTGGTCCAAATGGTTGTCAGGGGGTGGTCCACTTGTTAAGCTGTCAGCCCTTCTCCAACTGGCAGAGGCAAGTGCCCAGCCTGGTCAGAGGAAAGCGAAGAAGAAATTTGTATCTAAATCTCATTAACAGTGGTTCCACACCAACTGCTGAGCTAAAGTACTCCCCTTAACACTGGGGCCATGTATAGTTTGGTTTAATTCTCTCTAGTGCCTCATCCTGAGGAGCGCACCTGCAGGATTGAGGCACACACTTGGTTTTTGCTGGCTATCAAATGCTCAACACCAGACTTGTACCCAAGTCTTACTGTTTGAAAGACTTCCACTTAACCCTGTGGTCCGGGTTTGCACAAAGTGCGAGAGAGTAATAGAGAGCGAGTCCTCATGTTACAACCAAGAGTTTGTATACTCTGGCGCACAACTCAAACAAGCTTTGAGTGAAGTGAGTGGGAGTGGTTACCCTTTAAGATGGGACCAAGTTTGTTGTGGGTAAACAACAGGAGGACTCACTGAGGAGTCTCCTTGATCTATTGGTTTTTATATACATCTACAGACTTATTTGTACGTGTGTACCATACAGTTGATGAAGGCCATGACTGATGATGTCATAGGGCACAGCCCCTGTGACCAGCTCCACTGTGTGAGAGAATTGTAGCTAAGAATAAAGGAAAGCAGTGCAGCGTGAAAAAGTGGAGTTTGAACAAAATGGAAAGTGCCGCATGGTATAGTGTGTGAAAACTACAAAAGAAAGTTAAAGTAGAGAATGCAATTTAAAGATCCAAAAATTGTGTATTGTTACAATATCTAGCATGTATTATGAGAGACTGAGGAGGAAAGTGAGTATACAATGTGTCTACTTACTGTGATGTTCCTAGTTGCTATATTTGTTATTCTCTACAGATAGACTATTAGTCAGCCAAGGTAGCAAGAGTCTGAGAGTTCCAGTCCATGTGGCAAGCCATGTGGATGCCTTGAATTATTTAACCATGACCTCAAGCTCAACACTCATCACTTCCTACTCTTGCTGTTATTATATGCTTCAGCAGACTCAGACATTGATCTAATAGAGACATTCTAGCCTGGAAGTCTGGTCTATTATACTATAGGTATTACATGTAGGTGCTGGGCCATCTATCTGCATAATCTGACCAAATTGTCCACAGTATTATTGACACCAACGCCACACAAATCTTCACAAGTGAAGCAATTATACTTCTGTTGCAGTCAATTGGTTAGTGCAAGTACAGAGTATAGGCATTGGATGCTGCAGGCCCCTCCTATAATCATTGCAAACTCCCCATATTAACTACCAGGTGGACATTGGACTAGAAATATTACACAATGTAAGAGCATGACAAAACATTTGGACTCCATCAATGATCCTAGTCATAATATGAATGTCAATAGCAATCATCCTTCTACATGACTCCATGATCCAGCGCTAGCATCTTGTGGCATTTAAGACACAGGCATCAGTGATGGTCAGACATCAGACGTAGATGCCAGGGTGGTGAAGAATGCCATGTCAGCTGCTCTTAAAAAATGGAGTTAGGCAGCGAGGTTGAAGAAAATGAGGATTTGAGTGACTCAGGAAATGATGACTCTGAAGAGGGCAGTATATTTGGCAACAAGGGTGGACAGCCAGAGGATGACAATGAGTTGTTTTTAGGCTTGTCTGGGTTGTCTTTATGGGATAAGCTACGAGAGACCCTTGAGCATGATCTTGCTACCATAGGCAAGTGTTTTTTTCAATCAATGACTATAGAAGTTGTACTAATAAAATATCTTAGCCAATGATCTGAGCAAAAGCTACAAACTAATACTCATAGCTTTTGCACTCAAAGTCAAATCCCACATGATAGATAACACCTTCAATAAGTTGCCTCTCATATTTCAGGACCAGTCCCTAGGAAGGAGACTACTTTGCATGTAGCATTTCTTTTGGCGATTGAGCCAGTCTTATATGATTGTTGCATCAATTCATGCTGTTGCTATGTTGGACCAAACACTCTACTCAACAAGTGTCCACATTGCAACTCTCCCCGCTATAAACAAACATCCAAGAAATAGGTTTATTTACATACTATTAATACCATGCCTTGTTGCTCTCTCCAACAATGCTGGAAAAGATGAAGTATTGAGGCCGTGAACAAATTGAAAGCACACACACTTTCAACAATGTCACAGATGGCACTGTGTATTGTAATCTGCTAGGAAGTTAAGTATTTGTCCATAACAAGCGCTACCCCACAACTATCTCTCAGATCCGCGTGACATCGCCCTTGGGCTCTCTACTGATGCTTTTGTTCCTTTCTGCCACCGCAAAAAAACAGCCTGGCCTCTCATTGTATACAACTACAATTCTCCCCCAGAGATTCAATTCTTAAAGAATTATATCATGTGCTTGGGTGTTGTACCTGGTTCAAAGAAGCCAAAAGATTTTGGCTCATTTATATGGCCATTTGTAGAGGAGATGCTTAAGCTAGCCATTGGAGTTTGCATATACAACATTGTAGAGGCCGCTATTTTTGCTCTTTGTGCATATCTAATCATTGTATCTGGTGATATACCCGCTATTTTCAATGGTGATGAAGACAAAGGGTCACAATGGGTTCACACCGTGTCATGCTTGCAAGATTAATGGCCTCCAAATTCCTAGCTCTCGGGGTACAGCTCATTATGTCCCTCTAGGTTGGAGCCAGCACCCAAATACCTGAGATGTAGTCTCAGCGGTAAAAAAGCTTGATCCCAGAAACCTCCCTGTGTGAAGCCACACCAAAGTTCTCTTGCAAGGTAAAGAGGTTCAGTAAGTATTGACTCCTACACAATCAGCCTATCTTGCAAAGCTATACAGTAAATGGCCTTCCACTGCTAAGCTGCCTGCATTCTCTTTCATCTCCTGCTTCCTTTCCTTATGATTTTATGCATTTAATCTGGGACAATGTCATATCTAACCTCATTTCTTTGTGGACAGGTGACTATAAAGGTAGGTTTGTATCTGCTCAAAAAAAGAGTCTGGGAAGTAATTGGTGAAGCTACTGCTATGTCTGGAGCTACAATCCCATCTTCAATTTGAGCTATTAAGAGACGACATCGACATGCTGCATCCAGGCTTTATACACTGGTTGGAATCCTACGGAGAGTATGTATACAGCCACCATCTCTCGGCATAACTTCTTACACATAGACTTTCCCCAGATTTTACTATTAGTTACTTCCAGACCAACTCAGTGCTTGCCCTGTTACGGTGCATAGGTTACTACACATTGCTGACAGCATTGAGGTCACAGGTCCTGTCTGGACATCCTGGGCCTTTCCCATAGAACAGTTTTGTGGACTCTTACAACCTTCAGTGAGAAGTTGTTGGTATCCCGATGCAAGACTCACCCAAGTACAGCTCATCCACAACTTGCGGCAGGAATTGCTCCTTTAAAAGCCACAAAATGTAAATGCATCACTCCATCTTAGGGACAAATCTTGTAAGTGACCTAAATATTCATAAGGTCTGCATTAAACTTGGCCTTCAGACCCCACATGTATCTTGTTGCCTCCTCACAAAGTAGGTGAAATTGACAATTATCTTTTAAACAAGATCTGTATGGCATTGGCCACACACTTTGACATTTCCATTTCTACCATCCAACCATATATAACGGTCAATACCATTACTCTATGGGGTAAAATATAGTGTCTCGAGGGTGGAGATACTATATCTGCAGCAGAAATGGTGAAGACCCAAGATGATTCAAGAGATGCATCATTTGTCCGAGTGAGTGCCCACTTAATCTAACAAGCAACAGGATATTCACCCCTGTCCAGTACCAGAGTCTAGTTGATAAATACACTTGCCAGCGCCATTGGACTCCTGAATACAAATTAAAGACTTTTTTTCCCCAGCAGCAATATGCTGTTGTAGTCCCGCTTCCCATGATCACATTACTCACTCTTGTGCAACCTGCAGTCAAAACATGTGTTTTAGAAGGGGTGAACACTCTTGGTGTTCCATATTATTCAAAATTGGGGCCGCTAAAAGTAGTAGACATTATTTGTATTCAATGTGCAGTAGGCAGAGTGAAGTATGGGCAGAGATGGGCCATTATTGATAGAAGTGGCACTCTTGCCCGAGCTGTGTATACCTTATGACTACTTTTGATGTACATAAATTGATGATATCCATATTTGTAGCAGTTTTTTGTCACCCAATCTATACCGGTGATTTATTCCTTATATTGAAAGTGGAATATCACCTGCTTGCATGGTATTTTGCCCAACCATAACCCTGTGCTATAGTGTCACCCAGGTGTCAAGCGAATCTCTTATATAATCAAGTTTTCTGGTGGAAATAACTTGCTACCAGATTCATAGTGTGGGAGCTTGGAATCATGGAGTATGGTTGCTAATGTAGCCAATGCCTGATTCATGTGTTCTGCAATGCTATTTTGTTCTGGAGTATCTGCAGCTGTAGTTTCTTGGAGGACATTATCTCCTTGGAGTTGATTCTTGAATGCATTGCTAGTATATTCTCCTCCCCCATTGCTCCAGAGGGATTCTGTATACAGTGTAGTGAAGTTTTGTTCTCTCAAATGAATTCGGAAAAATGTTTGTACATTTTCTTTCCATTGCTTGTATTGTTCCAGTGCTTCACTTTTGTGTTTTAGGAAGTATATCCATGGAATTTTGGAGAAATTGTCTACATTGATAACCTAGTATCAGAAAACCCTCCCTGGAGGTTGATTTGATTGATCCTCCAACATTTGTGTGCACAATTCATATGGGGTGCTTGGCTCGGTTTCCTCCAGTGGACTTGAAAGGTAATTTCTTCATCTTTCATAAAGCACAAGGTTCACAAAACTCCGGGGTTCCAGTAAGGGTGTCCTGGAGCTGTCCTTTTTCAACCATTTATTGTAAGCAATCCATTCCAATGTATCCCATGTTCCTGTGCAATAGATTTACATCCACTGCTGCAAAAGCTGATTTTGGGTTTTGCTTGGATGTGATACAGTCCTCACTTGTGTAAAGCAGTGAGAATGAATTCCTTCTTTTTCTGAACGAAAGAGTGTTGATAACCCTGTTTTAGACAATCTATGGACAAAGACGAGTGCTAAAGTGAAGTTTGGCACAAGTAAGACATTTGACAGTGCAATATTGTAATTCTTCTTTCCAACAGTTGCTTATAGGATCACTGTCCCAATTCCAATGGCATTTACAGAGGATTCATCCCCAAAACTGATTATCCTTAGAGGGTTCAGAAACTGGTATGTTCCTGGCTTAAACCAGGAGTGGTGAGGAACTATGTGAGACGTTGCTCTGGAGTCAATGTTGTTGTTTTGGTCTTATCAGGTTCCGACACAAGGTAAGCTATCCTTGTGTTTCTCCTTTCACTTTGGGAGAGATTGAAGAAGAGCAAAGGCCATGAGTTTGGTATTGACTCCTGGTTTCATTCCAGAGAGGTGTGAATCAATTGTCTGGATTTTCACAATGTGGTCCTAGATAGGTGATGTTCCATCCCAGGACAATTTGGTGAGTTGCTGGAATGAATAGAAGGCCGGGGCAATGTTGGACGTCTGATGGAGTGAAACAAGTTTGTCAAATAACTCCTTGGAGCTGGTGAGGTCTCCAGTTCTCATTAGGAGGGCATCAGAGATGTGGTCCTGGATGATTCCATGTGCCTTTTCATCCTTAAATATCCAGACAATCTCAGCGTCCTCCGAGGAGGTGGGCTTTCCTGGTGAGGGCTTGAGCTCCTCACCAATAACAACAATATCCAAGGTCAAAGGCCAAAGTAATTGCAACATCTATCACCAATTTCCAGGAGAGATACAAGGCTTATAATGTGTCTGGGGGTGTTTATCGTCCTTTTTGGGAGGTTTTTTCTCACTGTAATATCCACATGGCTATAACTCCTGATGTGCTCCGCTCCATCAATTCTATCAGGGTGTTGTAAAACACTTGCTTTAATTCTAGCTTAATAACTAACAAAGAGCTTGATGACTGTATACACAAACTTCCCCCCTACTTTGGTGTACAACACTTCAAACATGCAGGATCATAACTATCCTATCCCAAATATCTGGGACAGAGAAAAAAAATATGGAAAGGATTTTACTGATATGTATAGTTGGAAAAACTCCCTCTCAGGTTATAATGTGTTATAGGGCACTCCTCAACTTCATTCACAATGACACCACAATTTGGTATCTTGGGTTCTCCGGGTCTTTGTTGTGCCGGCAGACATGTTTTTCTCCCTCGTTACTTGAGTATGGGGGAACACCTTAATATTCCCAAATTTTATTCTATGTTATACTGTGCAGAAAATTTTTGTAATTTTGGCACAACCAACAACTATAATACAGAAATGTTTGAAAGGTTCTGTATAGACTTTGCAAAGGAAGACTGGAGGGCATCAAAATTTTATAATAAGGGTCCCTCAAATGATGCAATGGAATAGCAGGCAAGAAATAGTTGTCATGGTTGAAAGCTATCTAAGCAATTAGAAGAGAGAGGAGAATAGGGAGCAAGAAACACAAGAAGATGTAGACACTTTAGTATTATCCTCACAATTATCCTATTTCTGCCAATATGTCATCACTGCCATGCCTACTCACTCAACATTATTCAAATAACATACAGCTGTTCATCATTCTCATATCATTTACACACTTTTCTTGATCAATTTATGGGCAGAGGAAACACTATTACGAGGTCTCAGCTCCTATTTTCTCAGCTTCCCTTTAACAGAATGGATATCTGACATTCACTTAAGTTTATACTCAATAGTTTGGGAAATGATGTAGATGACATCAAGAATTTGGATGCTATAAAGGACAAGCTTGGTAAGGCGGGAAAGAAGGGGAGATTTGACACTGTCACAGTAGCAAACACTGATAATACTAAGATGACAGGTTTACAAGGTGCATCATGTATTTTTATCAGTTTAACATCTTATTGCTCACTACATTATTGTTACAATACACAATTTTTGGACCTTTAAATTTCATTCTCCACTTTAACTTTCTTTCATAGTTTTTCACACACTGTGCCATGCAGCACTTTTCATTTTGTTCAAACTCCACTTTCTTGTGCTTTCCTTTATTCTTAGATACAAGTTTCTCACGCAGTGGAGCTGGTCACATGGGCTGTGCCTTATGACATCATCAGCCACTGCTTTTATCAACTGTATAGTACACGTGTACAAATAGCCTGTAATAGTATAAATACCCCAATAGATCAAGGAGACTCCTCAGCAAGTCCTCCTGTTATTTACCCATAACAAACATAGTTCTACCATAAGGGAGATTATCCCCTCCTCTACTCACCCCTCTCTGCTTGTCTTGTTGTGCACCAGAGTATAATTTTTTTGGTTGTTACAATTATCATAGGCACAAAGGTTGGGAGGTTGAGAGTTATATTCTCATGTCCTGAAATGATCTACTCTTACAATATAACACTACAATTTTGGTCCAAGGGGCCTTTAGCTTATGTGGAGTGGTATAAGATGTTCAGAAACCCTGGGAAAAATCATAATATGTACATGCTAACAAAGCCAGTTTTTCAATCAAATGAAGTTACACCTGGTGATATTGTTTCATTGGGCACTATATGCCAAAGCTGCCCACTTATTTCTATTACTGGGCCCGAGGTGGAATGGCCAAAAACCTAGCATACAGAAAAAACAGAGGTATGTTCTACATTTTTACTCAACAATTGGACTAGCAATTTTACATACCAAACAATCTGGTAATATTAGTAGGAGATAAAAGATTATTTCTTATTACATGTTATAATCATTATAAATCAATATGTTACTATAAATTGATATAATGCACATTTTATGAGGCAATGTTAAACAAAAACACAACCTATCTCTCTACCTTTTAGAGAGGAGGAGGTACAATAAGTCTGGAGTATGATAGATGTGAGGATTATTGCAAGTCAAGGACAGGTTTTAGACTTAGAGTTTTCTGATGTGGAGTAGAACAGGTAATTCAAGTAATAAAAAGCTAAAAAATGATACATGGATATGTAGGGTCTTTTATAGCAAATTGTCTGTCTCCTCAGACCAAAAGAGAAAAAAGAAAAAGTGGTCTGAGAGTATAGTTAACCAATAGGAAAAAGAATAAATATTGTACAACTTGTAATGATTAAGTAGCTCATGGGAGAATAATCTATTAATAAGTATTTGTCAGGTGGGTCTAGGGCAATATCCCCATGAGTAGGGTGTTACTCTAGATAAGACCTCTATTAATATTTTCAAACATGTGATCCAGTTCAGAGCTGGTTGGCAAAAGTACCACTATTTGCTTCAACCATTGTGCTGGATGGCATAACAGGATGCCCATTCTCTTAGCTGTAACATAAAGTGGTCACAATGATTGAGAAGTCCATGTACCAACATCTCAAAACCATATTTTCAGACTTGTTTGAATGGATCAATAATATGGTATTTTTTTTCATTTATTATTAGTTATATAGATATGTTCTGATGGATTTATGTAGCTATTGGCTTACCTTCCTGAAGAATATGCCATACTCAGTAAGACAGCCAATATTTCACCTGCAAACAATCCCTCTGCTGTCTACCCTTTCATTGGCTTAATGGTCAATGCCAATGTTGGAATCAAAGCTCACTATTATGCAAAGGACAAAAAAATATACTTTATGCTCACACAGGGTAAGCACAAAAGGGGGGAACTATACCGGGTGGAACTTGGATTGGGGTTGCAACTGAATGAGGGAGATTTTGTCGTATTTCCTTCATGTGATATTACTCACATGAATTTGCATTTCAAGGGTGAGAGGTGTTCTATTGCAAACTGACAAAAAGATGAAAGGTTGGGCTAATGGGTACAACAGTTAGGAAGGCAATATTAACTTCAGTTAGGTTTAATTTCATCACACAATAGTGTAGTAGCATAATTTACAGTATGTGCTGGCCCTTACAGCCAACCTGAGTGTAATTTGCAAAATTATTACATGTTTGTATTTGTACACAGCAAAGTGAAAGCTTTGAAATCTACTCAGTGAGATATTGTCTGCTACTTGTCAATTCTTGTATTTTAGCTCTCCTTATACCTTACTTTATTATATGGTTCATAAAACCAGGTTAAGCATGGTCCTAATACTTCACCATGAAACAGAAGCAACAAGGCCAAATAACTAACACATCATGGTCTACTTCCTCCAAGAGTAGAGATAAAGGTGTGATTACAAAAGAGAGAACAATATCAGAAAACATTCAGAAGAAGCTCAAGGCAGCTAAAGTACAAGCTAATGAGGAACAATTAACAGGGGCACCTTTGTTTATTTATCTATCTATAATTCTTAGTAACATTATCCTTTGAAATACAGGTATATGTAGGAAGACTACTAGCATGCACTAATTGACAAATTATGACATTTGTTTATAGCTACCGAGGCGTACTTGGAAAGCATACTGATTGGTTGCATGCCCAGAAGGTCCAGAATCACTGTACACGGGTGCAGATCCCATTGTGTTGTGATACTAATAATTCTAAGTGAAACTACAACAGATGTTAGTTTAAGGTGATCTCTAATAAATGTAATGTAACATACCTTAGCCGCTGCCCAAGAGGCTATAGAAACAACTGAGGTATTTCTATACTAAGCCCCCTACTATTTATAGTCGGAGGTGCTACTTTCTACAGTATAATGACTCCTAGGAGTACAGATGTGCTCCTAGGAGAACAATAGTGACTCCATGGAGTGGTGGCTATGCTCTATAGAGAATAATGGCTTCTTTAGCAGAGACCGGGTTTATCTGGTTTTGTCATGCATAAGGCTGAAGTTGGTGATGTTGATTAGAGTAGTGACAAAGGGGGGTGGAGAATCAGATAAAAAGCCCGTTTGTAAAAGGATAAGGAGGATGGCTGAAGACAAGGTCCACAATGGACTTGAGAAAGAAGAGTTAATGAATGTAATAAGGCCAAATAGTATATCAAATCAACTACTCTGGTATAGCATGCTAAGCTTAATCTTAATATAACCACAAATGATTACATCCCTCTTGATATGCCTAAATCTTGTAGATCTCCTGTGTATGATAATGACAATTCTGAATGTGAGCCAGCAGAGCAATCTATGGGTAATAAAGTAAACAATATCCTTTACTACTAATACACACAAATAATGTATCTTACAGTCTTGTGATGAAGTTGCAGAAAGTGTAATGCCATGTCTTGTATAAGATAGCTTCTCATTTAAATCATGTTTTATTTTCTGAGAAGAACAATATTTCCCATTGACATCTTTTCATACCATGAAATAGTTTGCAACGTCTAACTTTAGCCCTACATCAGCAGTATTAGCCAAATTAGGCCATTGTCATTTAAGGGTATTACTAGCTACATCTAAAGGTTTTTTTCAATTGAAGAACATAATAATCTGGTCTGGGCTACACTAACAGAAGTAGGAAAATTTTCCACAACTTTAAGTGCTAAGCTGTTGATGCTGCAGGATATTAAATGAGCTATTAAAAGGGAGAATCTATAGACTATGTACAGCAAATCTCTATTTTTAATTGTTTTACAATACTAATGAATCTCCACAGATTTAACCTACATCTTCCCAGATGAGGGGTGAAGTCAAGCGGAAAGCAAACTTGTTGGTGATTTTAGAATATGGGCTTGCATCTGATAAACTCCCTAAAAAATACATGATGTGGTGGAATGACTTTTAAACAATGGAAAAGGTATTTTCACCTTTATTAATCTGGATGCCAGATGCATATATTGTTTCATGTTTATCACACTTAATGTATAACAAATGTTTCAGTCCGAGCCCATACATATAATAAACAAAAACCTTTCAGTCATAATATCATCAGGCTTATTTTTCAAGTCAAATAGTTTCACAGGAAGGGCAAAAAAGTGCATAGTATTCAAGACTTCAAAAACAAACCCCTCTCTCTCATTGCTTTAGTGGTCATTGGTATCTCTTTTTTAATTGACTACTAGTACAAACATGGAGGCTGCCTCCATATGTTAACTACAGGTGTAAGACGTACCCTGAATCTTTCAGGTCATATTCAGTGCAAGGTTTGTACATAGTACTGAATATTATATTTGGGAATACTAATAACTCTTTACTAGAAGGTTCAATTATTATATTGCTAAACTAGAAGAATTGCAAAAAAGACCCCCAAGATGGATGAAATATATGCAGTTCCCTATATAATAATGTCTTGTATGTTACAAAGATGATTGATTTTTAATTTCTTTTGACACATATCTTTAACAGGGACCAATACAATCTTCAATACATAAAAAGTCAAAACATTGGATCAGATGATGAGGTTGACTTTACGGCTTTAGAGGACTATAATTGCTTGATGTTGTATGTAATATCATAGAAAAATAGATAATGTTTTGAGTTTTGGTGCTTTGAAATCAAAATGTGATAGTAATAGATGTATTTGGCTATAATAATTATTAAACAAATGTATTGTTCTGAATGTGTGGTGAAACAGTTATATCTACATTAAGCTATAGGTGGCAATATAGCCAGTATTATCTCTTATAGTTGACAAAATACACATCTGTTTGGATAGTGGATTTTTGTGTTATCATAGCTGGTAAAGTCAAAGCCTAGCTATATAGAGCTATATAATAGGGACCTGTGTATACCAACTATACCAGCTATACCAGCTATAAGAGTCTATATAGTGCTATATGGGCTACAATAGAGTTATTTGGGGTTTTCCTGATAGAGAATCAGCTGGAAATATAAGCAGGATTGCTTGAGCTCTAGCTCATGATCACAATTGTGGGAACACCACTCTTCTCAAGGGTGCAGTATATGCCAACAAGGTGAACCCAAGTGGAGCTTCATTGAATTCATGTCATATCTGTACTGGAAGACAGAACTCCAGCATTTCCAAAGGACATCAGGAAAAATGGGGGTAGCTATATAGAGCTCTATAGCACTATAAGTACTCATAAAGCTGTTATAGTGGTAAACCCTGTTATAGAACCTCTGCCATCTATAGAGCCTCATATAGCTCTATAAATGCTCTTATAGATGTTGGAAATTGTTGTGTGGCTGATAAAATAAAATTAACACAGACAGGACTTGAACTCTCAACCTGCTAGTCAGCTTTTGGGTGACTTAGCAACCTATCACCACATATCACATTTATCCACTACACCATGAGAGCTTATAAAATATATCATACAGGTGTTATATATTGACCTTTCATGGACTTAGATTATTTTTTTACTCATTGTCACTACTTATATTTGGATAAATCATTATTCTTATTTTATAAATATCAAAGATACAAAGATACAAACTACTATCTCACTAATACAGGCTATATAATTAATTAATACTGTATGATTTATTAGCCCTTTTAAGCACCTTGAACTATATTATAACTATAACCTTCACAGCTATAGGAGCTATGTAGGCTGCTATAGGCTATAAGAGCACTTATAGTACCTTGCCTATAATAATATACTTGACTCCAAACACTTTCGGCCTCTTTCTATTATTGAAGAAATTTATTAGATTAATCCAGAGTTTGAGCAAATTATAGATACTTCTCCCCTTGGTTAAGATTTTGCCTACTACTATGCTATAAGAGCTATAAGAGCTATGATTGCACTGATAGTACTATAGTTTCTATGAATGCTTTTATATATATAGGTGGTGGCTATATAGCGCTATATAGCAAAAGGGTTTTTCCTGATGGAGTTATTATCCGAGCCTGAAACCCCCAAACCATTGGTATATTTGGGATTATGTCCCTTGTGGTCTGCCGGTCAGCATAACTCTATGCTCTATTCCCACATGGTACTCCAGTTGTCCACTCTGATACTCCTGCACCAGACTTCTAATTTGCCATATGTTTCTCCTTGCACATTCTACTATTCCTTGTGGACTCTGTAATTAGACCTTATGATACACTGGAGTGCCTCACACATACATTCTCCTCTCGCTAGATAATTGTCCGCATGGAACTCTGTACCTACATTACTCCTTACGAGCTCCTGCTCCCCCGACAGTATATAAGCTGTAACTCCTGTACTTTGTTCCTTCAGTTTGAATATCAGATAGATTCCCTCGCTTTCTTACCAGTTCTTTTCTAAAGTTCTTTTTGATTCTTCTCCGAAGGATCTTTAGTCTGCTCCCTTTCATCCTCTACTTCTCCTCCGTCCACTTCCAACAAGTTAGGGACCAAGGTCTGTGGAAGGGTCTAGTGCACAAGCTAAGCCAATTCCCCATCTCGTCCTCCGTAATCTGTTACTCCAAAAAGGCCATGATTCTGACAGTTCACTAGTGCAGTTGCTCATTTGTGCAATTGCAATATTTGCAGCAAATACCACCAGCACAATGATGAGGGCAGTTACTCTGGTAGCACATCCCACCAACGTGTTTGTGAGGTTCACTTACTCTGCACTGTGAAGTCAAGACAATATCCACAGCTGGAACTCGGTGATCTCCTTGATCAGTGTAACAACTGTTGTTGCATATTGGCTAAGACCCAAAGTGACTTTGAGAACACTAAAGCCAATGCTTGTGTTCTCAAGCTCAAAACTCAGGTGGCTATGCTCAAAAGCAGGCTGTTAAACTGCTTGAGCAGGTGCAAAAACCAGATCCCATTGCAATAGATCTGATTTTGATCTGGCAATAGTGTAATATCTTTTTGGGTATTATGATTGTGTCTACTACAGTCTATCACTGGGTGTAATGTGCTATTCATTTTAGGAATGCACAATAAAAGGGATGCCTTAATGACGCTGGTCATTTTCCTATCAGAGTTTTACCCTTTGCTTCTGGCTGTTACAGCAGTATTTTTGGTATCTATTTTTACTTTTCTTTTACTTTACTTTTATTGTTTGGACTTTTACTTTTGGAAGTCATGTGACTGATCACATGACACATCACCTGACTAATGTCTAGACCCATTGTGTGACTGGTCACATGATATGACATGACACCTTTACTTACTCAGCGATGTCATTATATAGAATATAATGGAACACTATAGAATGTTTACCTATATTTATATTAAATGTACAATACCACATTTATTTAGGTATAAATACTCTTGCAATAAATGGAGACTCCCCAGCAAGTCCTCCTGTTGTCTACCAACAACAAACTTGTTCCTACAAACTTGAGTCTACCAACTCCTCTCACCATCTTCTTCTTCTTCATCCTTTTGAGTTACAGTGTGTGCACCAGAGTCTACAAAATTTGGGTATTGTTACATTGGCTTCATTGTTTCTCTGTTTTCATTGCTTGTACTGCAGTATAGCATTATTTATCTTTGCCTCTGCCTTTGGAATGTCTTGTTCCTTTTTTACCACAGAGCTGTTTGGTTTTTTGACTTTGTCGTGGGTAGAGCCTGTTAGACTTTTGTCTTCCTGGCCCTTTGTGACACTATTCAGTCCATCCAGTCAATCCTTACCAGCTATTTGCTGATGGACTGTAGGTGTTCTTTAGCATTAACCATAGCATTGTGTAAGTCCTGTCCTGCATTGGAGAATGTCCTCTGAGTCTCTGCAATAGTTGTTGTTGTTGTTGTAGACTTTGTGCGTGTTGTAGTGACTATTTGTACATCTATAACCATTATTAGTCAAACAGTTTGCTGGTGCTGGTGAATAGATGCCTGGTAGATGCCTGCCTCAAAGATATCAACAAACAAAAGAAGTAAAGCACTGTAAAGCTTTCTATTGAAGCTTGGGAGTGTCTGAATGCTGGTATTATTCATTCACTCTATAATATCACACTATCAGAACTGTGATCTTCCAGAGTTGTTGGAGGACAGATGTGCACTGTGAGAGTGGAACAGAGTACAAGATTGGGAGGTGGCTTAGCTTGTGCACTAGGCTCTTCCACAGACCTTAGTCCCTAACTCGATGGAATGAACTAGGGGAGAATGGAGGATAAAGGTAGATTGGAGTAAAGATCCTTCAGGGAAGGACCAGAAAGCTTAGAAAAGGGCTTGGGTAAAAAGGTGGAGGAATTTATTGATATTAAAACTGCAGGAACGGAATACAGAAGTTACAGCTTATATACTAATTGGAGGGAGTGGTGTTTGTAAGGAGTATCTTGTAATGTAGGTACAGAGTTCTATACAGACAACTATCTCATGAGGAGAAATTGTATGTGAGAGGAGTGTACCATAAGGTCTGACTACAATGTCCATAAGAAAACATAAAAATGTTTGGAGGAAATGTATGGCAGACTGAAAGTCCGGGGCAGGAGAACTGGAGCGGGTATCCGGAGTACTGCATGGGTGCAAAGCACAGGATTATACTGAGCAGCAGAGCATGAGGTGTTACAATACACAAATTTTGGACTTACAACTTTCTTTCTCTGCTTTAACTTTCTTACTTAGTTTTCACATGCTTGTGTGCCATGCAGCACTTTCCTTTTGTCCAAACTCCACTTTCTTGCACTGCACTGCCTTTCCTTATTTTCAGATACAAGTCTCTCACGCAGTGGAGCTGGTCACATGGGCTGTGCCCTATGATATCATCAGCCACTGCCTTATCAACTGTATGGTACAATATATACAAACAACCTGTAGTAGTATAAGTACCCCAATAGATGCAGAAGACTCCTCAGCAAGTCTTCCTGTTGTTTACCCACAACTAACTTGGTTTTAACCTAAGGGGTTTATCCACTCCTACTTTCCTCACTCTTGCTTGTCAGAGTTGTGCACCAGAGTATACAAACTCTTAGTTGTTACATTAGAACTTGCTCTCATTACTATCTTGCACTTTGTGCAAACCCGGACCACAGGGTTAAGTGGAAGTCTTTCAAACAGTAAAACTTGGGTGCCAGTCTGGTGTTGAGCATTTGCTAGCCAGTGGAAACCATGTGTGTGCCCCAATCCTGCAGGCGAGCTCCTCAGGACAAGGTGCTAGAGAGAATTGAACCAAACATCACACGGCCCCCAGTGTTAAGGGGAGTACTATAGCTCAACAGCGGTGTGGAAATGTTGTTGATTATATTTACATACAAAACCTTCCTCTTTGCTTTCCTCTGACCAGGCCGGGCACTTGCCTCCACCAGTTGGAGAAGGGTTGACAACTTAACAAGAGGATCAACTGTTTGTACCAGGGTTTATTATGTTTACCTTTTACACACAATTTCAAATACTATAGTGTGGGTAGTCAGAGATTGATTGTAACAACCAAGAGTTTCTTACTCTGGCGCACAACTTGGACAAGCAAAAGAGAAGAGAGAAAGGAGGGATCACTCTCCAGGTTTCAACAAGTTTGTTGTGCTAGACAACAGGAGGACTTGCTGAGTCCTTCCCCATGTATTGCTCCTGTATATATACTAAAATACATGAGGTACTGTACAGGTGTAAATACAGTTTAAAGTCTGATATTTAGCATGTGACCAGTCACATGGTGAGCCTAGACACTGGTCATGTGACTATGAAAAGTTGAAAATGTAAAGTAAAGTAAATGGTCACATGACTGGTCATGTGACTTGGAAAATAAAAAGTAAAAGTACAAAAAAGTGAAGTGTAAGTAGGTGCTGGTATGTTAATTGTGACATTGATATCCATTTGGCAAAGAGAACAAGTCACCATGTCAGTGCAAGAACAAACTGTGAATGTGAATGCCGTCCTTTATCAAATGCGGGAAAAGATTACAAATCTCACCACACAGCTCCAGGCTGTCCTTCACAATGTAAACATGCTGCAAAGAAACAACCTGCATGCAGCCAGATGTCTTTATGCTGAGTTGGATAAATAGCTGATATCTGATCAGTCCTAATTTATGGAATCTGCAAAACAAACAAAAAACATGATTCTGAGGAAATCTACCTAGTTTTGCACAGTAGATATGCCTCATTTTCTCCACATTGAATCTAGAAAATAGTCTCACATTTCGAGTGCTCCTGACGTCAGTATGAGTGGTCGACCACATTGGGTTTGCCTCGATACTGCTAGATCCGCTTTTGACTGAGGATCATTAAAATTAGTGTTGTCAGAGTTAATAGCCATGATTTACGTGATTTTCATACTCTGCCAATGAATATAAAAAGCCATGATGCCACGAACAAACAAATGCCATAATCTTATATCTTGTACACAATTCCATCGCTGATCATAAGTTCGTCCAAGTTCGTCATAACCTGACATGCATTAGTTGCCTCTGCGGTGCCAAAAAGTGTCGTTGTGGGAAGTCCCTCGTTGACCATCTCTACAAGGTCTGTCAGGAAAACCTGCTCTACATCCTGCAAGCGAGTGGCGAAAAGGTAGGCGAGGCGCGCACGGAAGAGTTTCAGGCTGCAGATAGCAAATTTCGAACAGGTGAGTTTGGTGCTGCTCAGACTACGAACAAGAAGAGAACGCACCGCTCTGGGCTTACTATGCCAATATCCAAAGTCCCAGTAGCCGGCGCTGGAGCAACCTCCTTGTCCCAATCCATGCTATTACCGTTCGATACTGTGACTTGACCAGACTGTGGTTCACCTTCCCCATTTGGTTGTGAAGGTATATCCATCTGCTGAGGTGCGTGGGTAATATTCCCATCCTCGTTGTCACTTTCACCATCATCGGCAGTCTGGGATTCTTTATCTTTGCGATGACTACCATCGCAATTCAGCTTTCGCGTCTTGCGGCGCTGCCGTTTCTCCACTTCTTTATAAAGCGCAAAACGCATGATGTCTTCCGCTGCCATGGCATCTTGTTGCTCAACCTTAGCAGAAAGGCGTGCTTTAGCATGTGCTGTCGAGAGACGAATCAGTGTCTCGAGTGTACGGGCTGTCAACGGCGAAGTCTACAAGACGAGAACACAGTTAGCAGGCTATGCGAATAGTAAGATGTGCCCTTGGATACCTTTTTTTTACTGAACTGACCTTCATCTTCGTTTCGCAACGTCGCATACATATTTACAATCCAGTCCGCGGCACCCTTTGTAAGCATTGGAGTTGGTTTACTCTTTGCGTATTGGATATATTTTTTAATGAAAGCGATGGTCAGCACTTCCTTCTTCGCTTGCTTTCCCAGGCGAGTACGTGTGACAGCACCTGCTATGGCGATGTGCAACAGAGGATCAAACTTTTCGAAAGGGCTTATCTCGTTTATATCTATCTCAGACAATTTCACTCCTGGTCCATCGATCGAAAGTGGTTGCGACAGATTATTATGCATCGGCGCGCCTTCTTCAATGCCAGGTGGAAGATAACGGTGCATCCGCAGGACATGATCTGCTACCTGTCTATCACGTGAAGCGTCAACATCGTCAGTAATCACAAAGAGAAGATCGAAACGGGAAAGAAGAGAGTCGGGAAGCGCGATGTTTTTGTGAGGGTCCTTGTGGATGTCATACTGGACGTAGTAAATTCAGCTGATTCCATGAATAGGGGAACGTGAGATCATACTTGGCCATATATTGGGTTAGCAGCTGCGATGACACTGCACCGGGCGTTCAAGCTCGTGTGTATACCGGCCTTCGCAATGGTGACGGTCTGCTGCTCCATGACTTCATGGATAGCTACACGATCTATATCCGACATTTTGTCGAATTCGTCTATACATACGACACCACGATCAGCAAGAACCATGGCGCCAGCCTCAAGTCTCCTTTCACCAGTGTCACGGTCGATAGTTACAGCTGCTGTCAATCCGACCCCAGAGCTCCCCCTACCAGTTGTAGCAATTGCTAAGGGCGCTATACCAAGGATGAATCGCAGCATCTGGGATTTTGCAGTGGATGGATCGCCAACCATGAGCATATTAATATCACCACGGATGTGTGTACCATTAGCCAAGTTCTTCTCAGCTCCACCCAGCAATAATAGTAGGACTGCGCTCTTGATGTAGTCGTGCCCGAATATAGACGGGGCAAGAGACTGAGAAAGAAGATAGACTATGTCTTTCCGTTTGGAAAGCTGGTTAATTTGGCGGATGTCGGTATCACTCAGCGGCGTTTGGGCAATCCCACCTCCATTCTTTGACGAGAGTAGATTGATGTTATTCGCTATTAGTAGTGACCTACATTAAATGGGTAGTAAGATGTGCACCATACATATCAAGATACAACCTACTTAAATGCACCGTTGGAAGCCCCTCCAACACTACGATAAAACCCTACAAGCTGAACGCGGTCACCAGGCTTGCATTTATCAACCAAGTCATCATCCATGATTATGTCAGTGCTGCGCGGCAGCTGACCAGCGGGAGCACGTTCAGGCATCTCTTGTATGCTTATCCGTTGGTGATCGCGGAATGCACAGTACCCAAATTCAGTCTGCAGTAAGCGACCTTCATCGTCGGTCTGTGGAGTAACGGAGGACGTGGGAGGGAGGTTGGAAGTCGATGTTGTTGAGTCGCGATATTCTCGAGCGTGAAACATCCTCGTTTCCGGACAATAGTGGACTGACTTGAGCATTTTGGGACGTACGAGGGAACATCGAGTGATGATCCCTTCCAGACAGATCATATTCCCGAGATGATGAGCCTGTAACGTCCGTGGGCTGACTTGATGGTCGCCAAAAGAGCCACTAAAACCAACTCGATAACTCTTTGCTTCCAAATCATGTTTTTCGGAGTCATGAACCTGTTGAACGATGCTGACAAGCGCACCATCGAATGCGGGGAGAAAGTCAACCGGGTGTTTCAATAATCCATCAGCAAATTCCCTATTATAATCTCGAAGGTCGTCGATGTTGACAACAAGACGCGTCTGGTCTCTTTGGATCATACGGGCGATATCGTCCTTGTAATTGTAGATTGGTGAGCTAGAAATAAGAAATTCTTCAAATACACGTGTCCTGTCCCGCATAAGATCATCTTGAGGAACAGGCTCAATCAGTAGCGACATAGTTGTCTAAATCTAAAAGAGAACGAAGGAGAGGCCGCATGAGCGAAAGAAGGGGACCGTGAGAACGATCATTCCAGTCAAAAACGACAGGACAGAACACCTGTGATTCCCACGCAAGTCGACGCCACAGACTCTTTCCACTTAGCTAATACACTTTCCTTCCCTTCCGACTTTAGCTCTAACATATAGTTAGTCTAGTCCAATATAACGCTGATTTGGTGGGTGCCCCCGTTCGGTGGTTTTAAGTAGAGAGAAAACTGCACGGCACACATCGGCTTAACGGCCTATTCTTCATTGCGTAGATAGAGCAAGGACTTAGTGAAATCAGACGAAAAAATATATACTGGTGATACATTGATACATGTATTCTAATGCTGGCATAGCAGCTATACAACCTGAACAAAGCCAATGGCTTTCACAAAAATGACGAGCTCAGGAGGTGGCAAAACGGCTGTCTTCTATGGCCTGCTACTGTTAATTCAAGAATTAATCACAAATCCAGTACATGGAGTTGAGGACTTACTGACAACACCATTTATACTAATTGTAACCCCTCTCATTGCCTTGGGAAATATCAGGTGAGTAGCTTAACCACGACAAATAATCGGGCTTACCAAACAGAACAGGCGGCTGAGATGGTCAACTTGAACATCAAGGCCATAGCTGTACACTCGGACAGTGTCCAGGCTGCCCAGGCAGAAGGACGTGACCTCCTGGATGAGGTACGCCGGTGCGAATGGTCAGTTTCATCTGACCCAACATGAGGCAGGCATAGTGATTAGCATAGAGTTTTCACTGAGTGCTGAGCTTGCTGACAATCAACGGAGCTTGAATAGTGTTCGTGTTTTTGCTGTATCGACACTGAAGGGGGGCACTCTGCACGCCACCGTTATTTTGAAGCAGACCTTATTTACAAGATATTGATCGACTATCATCAATATATTGAATTAGGTCAGCAAGGGAGACTAACATATAGTATACTTTTGTTAAACCTTCCCTTGTTAGTGATATCGGACCTAACCTACCTAGCTAACCCTGACACCGTATATAAGGACTGCGTGTTTGTAGTTTGCAAGGTAGCACTCTCAAAAATAATAGTAGGCTCATACCTGTGACTTTCTGCTCACTTGAGAGCTCTCTCATAATCTAAACTTCCTGTGCGACATTCTACATGACCATTACATATTTTTCACACCTCCCGTCTACAATTATATACATCTACCTTCCAAACACTGTCTGGACCTTGGACTGATCACCCAGGATCACCCGGACGACTACCTCAAGAAAAAACTAGAATGTCTAATAGCACGAATCGAGCAGGCCCATATTACCTGCGTCAATGATGCCGCCCAGTAGTCGCAGCGCAACCAAGGGCTAGTAGTGAGTCGTCACTGCCTCACCGTACTGATAGTTCACCCTCCCAGATTGAAACCCTCCAAGGACGGGGTGTTCCCGGTTCTATATCCGTTGCTGGTACTTTAATAACTTGGGTACCACGATGAGAAGTCCCTTGTACCGTCCTGGAGATGAGTACGAGGAGGTTCCAATACTATACCAGACACCTGTCAGTACCAATAGAGCAGAAAATAAACGAGAATTACCACCCCATATGGAGATACCCCGGAAAACTCAGCCTGGAAGCGGGCAAGAGTCCGTTTTGAATGCTGACCAAGAAAGATTGGTACAGCAAGCTGAACTAATGCTCACAAGCGAGCAACTAGTTAGAATCCTGAAACGTCGGGAAAAGAGAGATATGAATGAGGATCCTGAGGAGGTATTAGATTGTGATGAAGGCCTATCACAGTCAAAAGGGAAGGGCCCCGACCCTCGGAACTGGGGGGGAATTTCAGATGACTCAGATATGAATTTAGACGAGTAACAGAAAGCCTTCAAAACTTGGAAAGAGGGTCAATACTGGGCTAATACAGAACCAGTTAAAACTCACCAGCCAATAAATGCAAATCATCCTTCGGTAAAGGAGCAGCAGTCCCAAAGTGGGGATAGAGAACGGAGCAAAGAACTGTGGGACAAGCATGAGCAAGACATAGAAGAAACAAAAAAGAAACTTAATAAGCTTACAGCTCATTTAGCAAAAGAAGAAAATAAATATAAGTGCATTCGGCCAGACGTACCAGCCTTAGATAATTCTAATCCAGTAGCCAAACTCGTAGGCCAAATGGTTAAACCCAAGGGATTGGGAACTTCCCGAACTCCTCACAAACTGAATCCCATAAACCAGATACCAGTTACCAGTTACATTGGACGATCCTTGGGAAAAATAGAGAAAGCTGGTGGAGCAGACTCGGACAATTCATCTGACGAGTCAGACTCAAGCTCTAGCGGAGACTCGAGCAACACATCCACTGATAATGATTTCCAAGTTTCATCATTGGGCCCTAGATTGCAAACAAACAGAGTAAAATCTCATCGCCGGAAGAAAAGAAAAGAAATATTGAAACCCACTGAACTAGCTGCCTATGACAGAAAGCCTGATTCCCGAGAATTACATCGCTTTGTAACTGCTGCTACAGCCTACGTCAAAGTAGGGCAAGTGCCCCGAGCAAATTGAGTATACAGACTATCTGTGTTTCTAAAAGATAAAGCCTATGAATTCTATATCCAGGAAGTGGCAGATAACCCCTTTGAGTGGGATCTTCAACGCTTCTTTATTGGAATGTTCAACCATTGTTTTCCTGTAAACTTCAGATTAGAACAATGTGATAAGCTGAGGAAATGCTATCAGTATGGGAAAACTGTTTGAGAATATGTTTATGAGCTCACCGAGCTGTGGAACATGGTTGGGGATGTAGATGAACGGCAAAAGGTCATTCAACTCTGGATTGGGCTGAACGGAGATCTGCAAAAGGGCCTACCTATGAATAAAGGAATTACACCCAGAGGTGTTGAGCCTTGCAGAGGTCCAAGGAACTGCTGAGCTCCTTGAAATAGCCAATGCGGCGAGCGAATTAGGAGCAGGGCAAGGTAACCAGAGAGAAAAGAAAAAGGACAGGCCTGTAGAGCAAGTTAACCAGGCTACCTCCCCGAGTGGAAACCGCTCCTCGAACCAATGAGGATTTCAACCTGATCAAAGGAAACAAGTGTTAGTTTTGGTGATTCTGCACCTTTGTGCTACCTATATATTTCTATTCCTTTTCTTATCTATTCCTCTATCATTCAGTAGTGATTGTGTTCTCTATTATTTCGCCTCTGTGACTCCTTTGTTTACCTTTGTTTACAAAACTTCGGCCAGTACTGCAGAGTCCAATGCTTCCTATTCTCTAGTTACTCACATTGGACTCTAGGTACTGTATACCTGTCATACTCTCTAATAATACAGTTACTCACATTGGACTCTAGTTTCCAGTCCCTGATTGCTCTCAGCAAGTGGCTAGACACTTCCTTCAAGCTTTGTTCTTAATAACAAGCTCTGAAAGGCTCAAACCCTCCGCATAATCGTAACTATAAAGCAATGTCTCAACAAACTCTAGAGTTCCCAAACCAGTACCAGTTCCCAAAACGGAGTCAGAAAGACTGAAACCAGTTAAAAGCGGAAGGAAAATGCTATATCTGTGAATCCCCGGAACACATTAGCAGAAATTGTCCAGAGAACAAATTGATAATGGCCGGAGGATCTGGACACCCTCCAGGGGTTTCCGCATTTGGCATAACCAAAGATTGAGTAGAGGTTATTAACCCAGAGGAACTCATAATGGCTGCAGAAGCAACAGAAACCACAGATACCTTATCGCTCGGGATGATACTGGTAGACAAAGACGAAGAATGGAAAGGCCAAAGGAGTGCAATGGGGGGTCTGTTCCCATTCACAATTTCCTTCCTGTTGGGCTTAGGAGAACCCTACCCAGGAGACCTGCCATCAGCAAATTGGGAGAGTCCATATTACGGAGGACAATTTAATGCCACTCATACCTTAAATAACAAATATCTCATCAGTGATGACTTGAGACCAGAAGAAGACTGGGTTAACATACTGACCGACCTCCTGTTGAACCCAGATTTTGACTTGGTCCGGTGGTATACAAGGAAGAGTGGGCAACAGATTGGCTGGACAAAGCGGGAATGGCAAAACTACTGCAAATTCTCTCGCACAACTCTGCGAATGAGAGACCCAATCAGTCGAAGAGCCACTCGTCTTTTAAACAAAGGGGCTCCTTACTTTGGAGAGAGTTTGACTCAATATGCAAGTGAAGACCGGTTCCTGTTGACAACTCAGTCAGTTGATGGGATACCCTCATGGTATATAGTAAACGATAGACACCTTATGTTCCAAGTAATTACCTTGCGGGACTTATTGAGGAAACTGCAGTTTGATGTAGTAAACTGGTATGATAAAACTGTTGAGAGGAGTCTTCAGACTTTGTGCGACAAATTGCTCAGCGACAGAGAAGAATCGGCAGTCCTGAATTGGTTGTATCAGGAGCCAGAAATAATTAGTTAAAACCCCTTGTTTGAAGAAATCTCAGAGCTCACCAAATATTGACCAAATGCGTCTTTCAAAGACATTGGAGCATGAGCAGTAGTCATTGAACTCAATGGACAACAAGTCCCGCCAGGGACCTATCCTGCTATTGAACGAAACACGGCTCTAACAAAGGACTATAAACGAACCTTACCTAGACTGTGGTTGTAACTGTATCCATAAATGGGCAGCCTGCTAGAGCCCTTGTAGATTCTGGATCCCTTGCAGACTTCATGTCAGCCACACTGGCCAACCAGCTTAAAATCTCATTAGTTAAACTAGCAAAACCATTGCCAATTCAACTGGCTGTTCAGGGATCCCGATCCAACGTCAATTTTGGAACAAAAGCCGACTTGGTGTATCAAAATATCAGAGAGGAACGGTACTTCAATATAATAAACTTACAATCTTACGACCTTATCCTTGGAACCCCATTCCTATTTCAACATCAGGTGATGATCGGGCTAAATCCTTCTCGCATAGTAGTAGGAAGTAATGAGGCTGTCCTTATGAAGGGAGACAAATGCTCCCATGTGGAGTTGCGGGCAGCCAAAGTCTTTGTGGATCACCTGGAAAAAGTCAGACAGAAACTTAGGAGTTATGCAGCACCATTATGTGCCAAAGCTAGCAAAACAGGACTGCCACCTCTCCGTGACATCAATCACACTATACCATTGATAGATGAAACTAAAATCTACCTGTGGAGGGCTTCCCGCTGTCCAGAACCACTGAGAGCCCAGTGGACAGAAAAATGAGCTGCATGTTTAGCGTCAGGACATTAGCAAATCACTAGCCAAGGGAACACTGTTCCTATGTTATTAATCAAGAAACCTGGAACGGATAAGCTATAAACAGTGATTGACTTGTGGGAACGAAATAAAAACACATACAAGGTGTCATCCCCATTGCGGAACATGGAGAGAATCTTGCAAATAGTTGCTCAAAAACCATATTGGTCAATCATTGATGGACAGGATGTGTATGGACAGATTCAGATTATTCCTGAGCATGTAAACTGTTTGACTGTAACCACGCCAGATGGAAATATGGTTAGTTTAGTAATCCAAATTGGGGATTGTAATGCACCAGCAACTTACCAGGCCTTGATGAATCATTTGTTTGAACAATACATTGGTGTGTTCATGGATGTGTATCTAGATGATATAATAATTTATTCGGATACTCTGGGAGAGCACAAAAAGCAAGTTAAAATTATATTAGACATCCTGAAGGGACAGAGTCTTTACCTCAGCAAAAAGAAGCTTCATTTCCTGTGCAAGGAGATGAAAGTACTAGGTTGCATTGTGGATGATGCTGAAATTTGGATGGACCCACATAAAGTAGACTCGGTGCAAGCAAATACACAGTTTTTGATGAGAATATGCAACCATCTGCTATGCTGAAGGGACTTGTTAGTATGCATGTACTGGTTGGAATGGAAGCTTCGGCCGTGGCTCCGATAACTCAAGCCAGCACATGGGCAACAGCGGCACTCGAGAAAGCTCAAGTACAGCCACTGGTTTCCTCAGGGCTAAACAGCCTAGGGAATGTACCTGGGCTAGCAGCGACCAAAGGATCTAAACCAAAAGAAACATCAGTAGAATTTGCAAAAAGAATGAAACACCATTTTGTTCTCAAGGGCCCACAAGAACGAAAGGAAAGAGGAAATGAAGAAGTTGTAAAGAAAACTGTACTAGACAAGATTGAGAAAACACCAGAACAAATGGAAGAGGCTCTTCCAGATCATCCATTTAATGTCCAAACCCCACCCACAATAACAGAAGAAGACACCTTGGTCAAAGCAATAGAGAATCAATACCATTTAGATAAGTTTTATAAACAAATTATTGACGCACCAGGAAGTTTCAAGAATTTCATAGTGGAGGACAGATTGATTCACCAGAAAGGGGAAACAGGATCTGTACTTTGTATTCCAAAAATTCTGGTAAACGGAAGAAGAATAAGAGAAATTTTAATTGATTGAGCTCACTCATTGCTAGCTCACCTAGTTCCAGCTCAGCCTTGGGATGCAATTGGAATGGATTCCGTGGGGCCACTGCCGGAATCAAGGACCGAGATGGGAATTATGACTTTATAACAGTGATAATTGATCTCTTGACGTCTCTGGTTCACTTGGTTCCTAGCAGGACAGATTATACAGCTAGGGAAATTGCTGAGTTGGTCTTTTTGGAAGTTTATAGACTCCATGGTCTTCCATGAGCTATAATCAGTGATCGGGACGTACTGTTTACAAGTATCTTTTGGACACACCTAAACAATCTAATGGGAGTAGATCAGAAGATGTCCAGTGCCTATTACCCCGAATCTGATGGCTCCACAGAACGAGCGAATAGAACGATTGGGCAGATGCTGAGATCATGCATTAGTCCTAATCAACAAGATTGGGTAGCAAAGCTTCCTGCCATTGAATTTGCAATAAATCTAGCAAGGAACAAAATGACTGGATATTCACCTTTCTTCCTGAACTCAGGGCAAATGCCCAGACCGATGATTTGGAATAACCCTCCAAGCAACAAGTGCCCAGGAGTAAGAGCTTATGTGCAAAGGATTAAACTTGCAGTGATGGCTGCCCATGATGCAATCCTGGAAGCTCGTGTTAAGCAAACCCGAAAAGCTAACCTGAAAAGACAGGCCTGTCCGTTCAAGGCAGGAGATTTAGTATATGTATCTACCAAGAATATTACCCTGCCAAAAGGATTAGCTAGGAAGTTGATACCAAAAATTTATTGGACCTTACCAAATATTGAATGACTATCGGAACAATTCGTTTAAAATTGACTTGCTACCTAGGTTGAAGCAGAGAGGAGTTCACCCTGTATTTCACTCGTCACTCCTGCATATACACCTAGCAAATGATGATACATTGTTTCCAGGACAGCTGGATACTCAAGTAGGCCTCTTCAAAGAAGTTGAGAAAGAGTGGGCTGTAGATAGAATTATCGCACATAAAGGGAGCAGGCATAACACCATATTCACTGTAAAGTAGAAAGCTGGTGACGTTAGCTGGCTAACATATACACGGCTAGAACCACTGGGGATCCTGAAAGACTACCTTAGTGCTGCCGGAGCTGAAACTATTGACCAACTTACTGATGTCACCACAGGTCCCACTCCACCAGATGACCCTCAGCTTTTGTGGGATTCATGACCAGCAACACAGACAAAAATACTATAAAGAAATCAGCAAGCACCCCAATCCATTTGCCCGCCACTCACCTCTATTTTATCTACCCATTTGTACCTTTGACTCCTGTTCCAATCTCAACCTCTCGCTGTTCCGTCCTACCCCTCATCCATTTCAATCATTCAGCACTAGCCATGCCATCCATATATCTCACTCACCTACAAGGGCTACTGTACCATCTTACCAGCCCAAGCAACCCATATGACGTTCCTCTTGTTCACATTGGGCGGATAGAGGCTTTCTTGGCTTATAGCCTTAGCCTGAGGAATGGTCAATCCGATAGCTAGTAACCCAACCGCCCCCCTTGGGTACGCATACTTTGCGTCAGTCATCAACCGTGATCCTCAGCTCAAGGGACACTTGGCTTTAATCGATTGGGTAGGCAAATGTTGTATCTAGAGGAAGACATCTGGGTCTTCGAGAGCTTGTGGGGGTGGACCCGCGTCAACCTCAAAACCAAGTGAGAGAAGGAAACATAACTCAAGGGGGAGGACGCACCTTCAATCCACATGAGAGGCAAGTTGTTGAAAGTGTCCTTCTAGACTTTGCGTCCAAGCAACAGAAGCACAATGCTGTCATGCACCAAAGTTGATTGGTAGCATAGACAGGTGTCAATAACAAAGCGAATATTCAAAAAAACTCGCCTTTGCACCAGGCACAGTGCCACATGGAATAGTAATTTGCGTTGCCACTGGCTACACATTGCATACCGCTAAACCCCGGGAGCTTGACAATGTCTAGTAGACGGAGTACATGATGTGCATTTAAACGGCCCCGTTTTATGCAATGAATGTGTATTTGGTAGGCTAGAGCAGGACTTGCTGGACAAATCTGTTCTTCACATATTTGCAGATACTTATCTTCATCCCTCAGGTAGGTGGCAACTCGGCAAATCTCAACATTGAGCCACTTTATCTCCTCGCAAGCACGGCAGGCCTTGAAGTAGAAGTCCATAGCCAAGCGGCCAGCTGGCATTGCCCAGGGCCGATGAGACATGTCCTGGCAGGTATCACGTAGCAAGTCAAAATCTGAAAGAAATGTGTACTTTATTACTTCTTTCCATTTAAGTAGGTGATGGGGGGGTGTCAGGGCTCTGGCTGCAGTATTGTAGCAATTGAGGGCAGTACTAATGGCCACAAATTGTGCCTAAAATGCCTTGCCAATATGTTTTTGCAATGCATATCCTGTAACTGCTGTAATTTATGTACTGTAACATAAAAACTAACTGCTCACCTGTTTGTGAATGGTTCATCTTTGATAACTCAAAAATGCGGGCAACAATAAGACCTTCGAGGTGGTCAAGTGCCCTTTGGTATTTACGCATTGCTACCATCCTCCCCACTTCTTGCTATTCCTTAGAATCTGGTGTCCACCAAGTTGAGATGTGTAACTTCAACTCATACTGTTGCATGTCCTTGAGGTTCTTCTCGTAGTTTTCCATAGCAATTTGGCGAGCCACTTGCTGCTCCTTTGTCAGGACTTGTGCAGCTTCTCATGCCTTTGTGATTGCCTCAAGCTCTACGCTAGCATTAGGACATTACAAGTGAGCCAATAGTCGTCACCATGTTCAACAATACACTCACCTGTTAGCCTGCACGTTGACCAACTTTTGCCAATACTCCATATGTAATGTTTCTCCGGTGGATTCTTTCTGCAAGCTCATCAAATATTATTTCTCTTCTTTCAGCCATTGCTTCAATACACTCTCATCCATCACACCAAGGTCATGGACTGTATCTCTGAGTCCAATGGAACTCTTGGACAAGATATCCAGAGCTTGTCAGTAGTTGTTGTACAAGAAGCTGGCTTTAATAGAAGATTAGGTGTCAGTATATCTTGCGTAGTACAGATCTAGTACATACTAAGGTTATAGTATACTTCAAATTCATCCTCGTGTCCAAAGTAAGCGTCAATTGCCTGTCTTTGGTGAAAAACACTGGCATATTGGACTGAGTCAGCCAAAGTGTTGGACTTTGAGAATGCTCTCTCACAGCCTTCAAGATCCTCAAGGGCCTTCAGTGTACGTGGCAAGATGTGAAAGTTGACAAAGATGGCGGTGGGCATGTCCATGAAAGGCACCAACAAGATATGCATGGTGTAGAGCACGGGCTTTTACTGAGGGTGGTCTTGAATTTACAGTTAATATTAAACCCGCCTGCTATATCCTCCCCAAATGTGTTGAGGATCTCTTCCACCACCACCAAAGGGTATTTCACCCTATAGATGTATATATAAAAATTAACCTGAATAAAATGCAAATACTTACAATTTGCCGCTTTGAACTATGCCTGCAATGACAAGAGAAAATCCATGTCTGCAAAGAGAAAGAAATATCCCTGTCTTGTCATAAATGGCCCATGTCTTCTTCAAAGCATCGTCCTTCATGTTTTTCCAACGACCCACACAGGGATTCTCTTCTGATTCTGTCTGTTTAGATTACTGTCAGTTAGAACATAATGCAAAGTATAATGAATCACTCACTGCATCATTTGCTCCATTCATCATCTCCTGTATTACTCCATATGCCCACTTATCTACAGACTGCCTTGTTAGATATCTATCTCCATCAACCTCCCTGGAGTCTGGAAGTTTGCAAGTTTTGCCTACAAGCTGGTTGTTGTCCTCGGGAGTGGTCCTTCTAACAATTCCCTTCAATGAGTCATTACCATCCATTATATAGAGCATCCGGAACATTAACTCATTTTCCCCGTTGATGGCATATGTGCATGCTGGACAGACATGCTTCAGGTGCCAGTCACACGGCTCACGGTTCAAGGCAGTCCTAACCAGCATTTTCACCCCGCTCCTAATAGACATGTATAAATCAAAAGCTATGGAGAATTGTCGGGACGGATAACAACAAAAAGGAAGCTGGAAAAAAATTAGTTAGAAATATACACTGATCATACTGAGACTCACCCCATGAAGGTCACATAATGACTTGACAAAGGCCTGGATTGATATTTGAGGTGTCCGAATATGGGCTACGCGGTATAGCTCAAGTGTATCTGAGGTGATACCAACTGTTGGAGAGATGGGTGAGCAAGGCATGACACCCTGTCTAACCAGTGCAGAGGTGATGAACCGGTCGGTGGGAAGCATTACAAGAACCTATTTGCGAGTGTCTATAGTCACGTTAGAATCACACGTGCAATTACTTGTTGTACGTACTGAACATGTCCACTACTTCCACTTTCAGCGACCCCATCCCACCAATGCTAGGATACATAGTACACTCTGCTTGGTGAATCATGTCCGAGCAGTTGAGACACCACTCCATATATGTGTCTATAAGTTCAGGAAGTTGTTCTTGAAAGGCCAGGTTGTGCCTGTGTATGCGGTTGCGACGCGTCTGGTAATCTACACGACGAGGAATACACTGATAGTGCCTATTAAGCACAAAGTGTCATTAACATAAGGTCAGTAGGATACTGCTACACCAACTCACCTTTTCCACAAGTCAGATCAGATTTCTCTTGTCAATGCCTCAAATTTGCCACCTGCATGACTGATCTCAACTGGCTCAGACCCATCCAGCACTACCTCCATATCACGTTGAAGGCTGTTGTCAAAGTCAAGTGATTCGTTATCACATAGAACTGGTGGGTCACACAAGGCTTCCAGCGCGCATCACTCATCGGCAGTAATCTCTTTGCAAACAATTGGTGAGCTTCTCTACTTGAATATCATCAAGTTGCTTACCTCGTAGACAATCTTCCCTTTGTTTTGAGACATCTGCAGACCTTTGAGCCACAGCAGTGGGTCCAAGGATTTCATGGACTTGCTGAATTTTTTGTCCATATTGATCGCTTGATGGGCTAGAAAATCTCACTTTCATATGAGATAAGCTGTTTCTATTTCGCGGGCGCTTGCTCATATTTTTGTAGATTCTGTTTGGTATGTCCTGGACTTGATATATACTTCACGTTGTTGATTGTTCAATGTTCAACAATCACAAATATGGTCAGGCTCAGGTGGTTGTGGCGGCGGCCTGAGAATCTTGATAGTCAGCAGAGCTGTCACTCTTGTTTGATCTTGAAAAGGTCTGTCTCACTACATCTGTTTTGATCCAACTCATATCTTAACATTCTGGTGCATATATTTCTTTCTACTCTCAATGCTCAAGCCTACTAATCACTAGCTAGATGATTTTGATGAACAGTGAGACTATTATTACAGAGCATACTAGCAAGACACGGACCAAGACTACAACCACTATCACAACAAGCTTGCGCACTGTGACAACCATCCCCATTGCGATGACCAGGCATAGGGAGAGAGTGACAAGACACTCTGTCTCAGCAATGAGTATGGCCACTGATTCTGATGAGCTTGCAGCCCCCGTTAGTTCCACTCCATCTATCCATCATCCCAGCAGCATCAGCCCTCCTAAACCTGGTACGGTACCTGAAGGATATTTTATGATCATTGTAGGGCGGGAAGTTGGTTTGTTCTACACACAATTTTTTCCCTTTAGGCTATTTCTCCATTGATACATCCACACCCAGAAGAGATGTGTCACTACGTACAGATCGAGTCAATGTAGCGGAACACTACAAATACCAGAGCTTCAAAGAGGCTTTATGAATATACACTGGTAGTTATCATTTGGGGGAGTTACACATTATCCGAGCCTCAACGCCAGAGCGCTCACCACCAATTTCTTTGTCAGCTCCTAGGCACAAAGACTTACCATCACCTCCATCTCTAGCATCAAGTGATGGACAGTCAAGGAGGTCAAGTGATATATATTGGGAACAGGTGGATATCTTGGCCAAAGAATTTAACCAAGTCAATATCTAGAGGGCTGGACAACAACTATGTAGTAGTGATACATATACATTTTCAGGCAGTCTTTGAATTCATGATTTTGTTTGATTTATTTGTGATACATTTGTGGTACAATAAAGTTCTCAAGAGCATGAGAGAACATGAGATATGGATGAGCTGACAATATCCTACTTGATCCCAAATCTTTGCTCAAATAACTGGAGTTTATATTAATCTTTGTTGTAAACCAAAAATTCTGCATGTGCCACATTCATTCAGCATCACTCGCAGTCCAAGTCATTCAAGCATGTTTCAAGCTGCAACCTCTCCAAACCAACCCATTCTTTCGCACAAAACTTGCTAGGAACAGTAAGTCTTGACATTCCATAGATATATGTGTTTCTGAATATGTGGTTAAGATACTCACCGCATATTCACTGGAAATCAAGCATATCATAGTGAACTATAGTGAACGTGATCACTATATCATGGCTATAAGGTGCAAGAAATTCAAGCAATCTCTAGCTTCACAATACTGGCTAGACAAACCGGGGTGAGATCATTTAATTTTCTCTGTGATTCTCTTTGATTCTATTATTAACATATTTTATACTTTAGTGTACGTGCTATTCAAAATGATAAAGCCAGACTCAGATCAGCTAAGTATGTATATTTTCCTTTGACTCTTGACTTTACACTTCATTATTGTACCCTTTGTTGGAATAGGAACTGTGCAAAGTGAATTTGTGTCTTTCTACAGTGGTGTACACACTCTGATCTATCTAATGTTGTACAGAAAGAAAGAAACAGAATCTGAGGCAAGCACCACTTGTGCTGGAGCCATGAAAAAGGGAGAGAAAAAGGAAACCACCACTCACTGTAGAGGTCCCTCTGCCTTCCAACCTTCAGCCTCCCAAATATTGAACCAGCTTTGGAAGAGGATAGTTGAATGGGAGGTTGGCTGGGAACCCAAAAACACTTGGTTGAGCCGTTTTGAAGAGGGCCTGGGTCAAGCACAAAAGGAGAATATGAGTAGCATTGAATATTTTTTTGAGCAGTGCAACATGCATGCAAAGGAAGGGCGGACAATCCTACAAGACTTCAAGGCTCACATGACTCACAGTTTTACTACACAGCATCACCAGAGGAAGTACAAGATTGGTTTCTAACAGCGTATGATTTGATGCTGAAGGTTTCATTTGAGGTCAAGTTCTTCAAAATCAAAGTGTCCAAGTATGTGCATGGTACTATCTTGCCAGATATATCAGGTGAGAGAGACCTGTAATGCTGGAAAGACAAAGTATATATTTTTGAATATTATACTCTGGTGTGCGGAGCAAAAAAATCCTAGAGAATCAGTCATATAGCAAATTTCCTAGTCATTTTGTAGGGGTTCTCCTGTCCAAGTCGGCAGGCTTGCAGAAAGTGTTGTACAAAAAAGGCAACTATCTTTAAGGCATGTGACGGCATTGTATGTACATTGGCTGTGAGTGCTTGGATTTCCATCATTGTTCTTTGCCCAGTTCATTCACCATTCCAGTAGCAGTTCCCCAAATCCCAAGGCACGAGTGTTTGTGACAGTCGGGTGGCTGGTGTTTTCTGCAATGACCGGTAAGTCCATTGCTGGTGTTAGTATCAGTTTAGGGGCATACACTGAAATCACACCCAAGCGCTGAATCTGAGCTGTGGTGGGCGCGCATTGTATGCAATCCTGACACACCTATCCTTTGGCAATGCAACCATAGGGGCAATTGAGAAATCAAGCACACCCTTGGAGTAAACATATTACAGTCCTACATGGTGACATGGTGCATTGTAAACATGTTCGTGTTTCGAGCTGATTAATGCTTTTTGTAACAACCAAGAGTTAGTTACTCTGGCGCACAACTAGAACAAACTATAGAGATAATGATGAGGGAGTAGTTACCCCTTAGACTTCAACAAGTTAGTTGTGAGGATACAACGAGAGGACTCGCTGAGAAGTCTCCTGGATCTATTTGGGTATATATACTACTACAGGTTTGTTTGTACATATGTACTATACACTTGATGAAGGCAGTGGCTGATGATGTCAGAGGGCGCAGCCCGTGTGACCAGCTCCACTGCGTGAGAGACTTGTATCAAAAATAGAAAGAAAGGCAGCGCAGCGCGAGAAAGTGGGGTTTGAACAAAAGGGAAAGTGCTGCATGGCACAGAGTGTGAAAGCTATAGTAAAAGGTAAAGAGGAGAATGAAAATTAAAGGTCCGAAAATGTGTTATCGTAACACCTTTCTCCACTATTCTCACTACTTACATTCATTCTTGCGTTGTTCAATGATGGATCAAGTGTTTATCTATTGTTGTATGTGCTATATTTTCTCCCCAATTCAGTAATCATATTAACTCACTGCAAAGAGGAGCCGATGCGCTATCATCACACCAAACCTTCCACGCTCACCAAAGGTAAGTACTCGTCACTTGGTGTTATAACTTCTTAATGACACTAAGCCGACTGTTATCATTTATCAGAGACTTTGGCTCACTTGCACATGACACCAGTATTCGCCACTGTGATATTGTGATGATCTTTTGCAATTATTATATTTAGCTATCATATTTTTTGCCCCAAAATTCATTTAATGTTGATGCAGGTTTAATATTTGGTGGTCCTACTAGGCCATTTTGGCCAAAACACCAGCATATTCTTATTTAATTGGCATGTGTACAAGTAAAGTGTAATACAGAAGAGGTCGGCTCCTCCTCCCCTCCCCCCCCTAATCAGAGACCCCCCAAGACACAATTGTCACTTCAAAGAAGCAGCCTCCACACATCCATGTCCAAGTTCAGTTTCCCTCCTCTGAATGAGATGTTTTAGGGAATGGCGCAGGATGAAGGCAAGAAGGAGAGACTTTGGAACTTCTTAAACAATCCTCTGGAAGTCCCCCCTGCACTGACAACATCCGGAAATAATGGTTTTCGGAGGAACGAGCTGGAGGATCGTACAAGTTATGTACCGGATACAGACTTAGACGACACAACATTTTGGAGTCAAACCTTGGACCCATTGTTAGCCTCTTGGCTGAGGGAGACAAGCTCATCCACAACATCACCTATGATGCGGGATACATCATACTCCTTTTGGTTCAACCCACTTTCCTCAGAGCCCCAGTTCCCTGTAGATCACAGGCCAGACAAGGTGCCTAGCAGCCCTTGGAGCATGCATGAACACCCGCCAGCAACCTCTCCACTCCCAAACACCCGGCAAACAGCACATCTAACCAGTCAGCCACAGTCGAACCAGATGTGTCAGTCAATCCATCTGACACATTATCCCCACCTGATCCATCTGGCACATCACCTCCAACTGATTTATTACAAGGTGCACCAAAAGAGGCTTTCAATATATTCAGCGGAGCATCGGGTGCATCTATCCCTCTCAGTAACAGAGCAACACTTCCTTCTGGCAGTGTTTGTCCTACAGAGGGGCAATTGGCACAGGCCAATAGTGCAACGTGGGCCTCACACAATCCCACTGGAAGGACATTACCTGTTTTCCCTCCTTTGCAATCACTTACTGATGCTGCAAAGGCCTCGAGAAGTATTGCGAGAGAAGTAAAAAACAACATGCTCAAGAAGCTCGATGAAGACATTATTACATCTGTAAAAGAGCAAAATAATAAATTTACAGACATCGCCAAAAATCATGATGTAAAGGTGGAAAAGGTTAAGAATATGGTAATTGTGTACACTCACTACACGAAGGTGTGAAAACCACAGCTTCACAATGCTATATTACATGCCAAGGCATTAGAAATAAATCCAAGTACATACTTTACACTTTGCCTGTGGTTATAAACATGTTTAACTGGTTCTTATATTTAGGTCTGAGTCCGGGAGAAAGGGAGGACCTTATTGAGCTACAGAACATGGCCACGAAGGACAAACAAGATCTGTCAGAAGAACAAAAAGAGGAGCTCCTCCAAAGAGTGGCCGACAATTGCATACACAAGGCCACGAGCATGCAATCGAGCAATGCCACAGCAGCTAGAGACATTATGTGCACAGCTGATAGCATGATTAAGGAGGTATGCCCCTACATGGTATAGCAGTGATAATTCACTGAATGTTATTCAAGATGTGTTAAAAATTGATCCCGGCAAGGTTTCAAGGTTGTTTGCATTGTGGGCATGCACCCGTAAACAGAGTAAGTCCTTTCCCACTCCACTGGCAAGCTAACTGACAATGTATTGTAGACACGTCGGAATGTGATACACTTGTTGTTCTACGCAGCCAATGTGTGGAGTTGATTCAGACTGGCCTCAATAAGTTTCAAAGCTTTATATTCAACAAAGCCAACTGCAGACTTCATAGAGTGCTTACTCAACAATGGAGCAGTTTCCATGAACTATGTAAACTACGAGACCACCGTTGTGCAAACCCACAAGGTCCGGTTGGTCAATTGGCCCACTGGCCTGAAATTTGTCAATTCATCCTTCATAGGAACTGTTGGTGATATATGAACCCTTTGCAACTCCCTAAGGACTGGCGAGTGCCATTGGGAGAAGCTCACAAGACTCCAACAAATGGCCCATAAACTTGACCTAGAGAGACGTCAAGAGGCTGGAGAAATTGTCAGGAAACCATGAGAACAGTGCTTAGACACTGGTACCAAGCGCAAGCAAGGAGGTGCCTTACAGGGTGGAAGAGGAGCTGCCCCAGCACAAAGAGGCCGTGCAGGGGTGCAGGGTCAAAGTGCAATGAGCCGAGGGATTCTTGAGAGCTCTGGAGACGAGTAGGATGAGTAGAAAGTACAATACTCACTGGCTCAAGGAACATGTCACTATATTCTCTCCAATCACTCAAAGTTGGTCTTTGTCTCCATGTTCATTGAGAAAAGGTGCAAAGTGTACAAGAACAATATAAATTCTATGCTAAGAAGGGCGTTCTGGAGCTCACTGTGTCAGACAACGAGCTCGAATCTTTTGAACATCACAGTGTTGCGTAACGTGCATGACATTCATTCCTGCGATGTCAGGCGGCATTGACGTATACAGCGATGACTCTAGACTCGGACACGTGGCATTCCAGGTTGTTGGTCCTTTTGAGCGCGGCTGCCGAATCCCCACCGTGAGAATAGCTCACAAACCTCCAAAATCTCAGATTTATCCAAGAGATATTGAAGGAGGCCTGCAAAGACAATTCGGGAGGCTAACTAGCCGTGCAATCAGCCGGAGGTAGCAAGGCTAATTAGCAGACTTGCATGGGAATCACAGGTGTGACAGAATTACAGTGTTTTCGGAATACCTTGTCTGCACCATTTTGTTTTTCGCTGCACCCTAGAAATATTATATAATCAGCTGAAGTACCAAAAAAGGACAGGCAATAGGAATCCTGGATTCCCATCAATAGTGAGGATATGTGGTCGACCACGAAGAAGGTTGGGAGGAGGGCAGACTGAGCCAAGCTGAGCTTGGTTTGCTTTCCAGCGAGAGAGGCTTTGTTCGGATACGTTGAAGACCTTGCAGACATCAGAGGGTATATACTGATGTTCAATGAGCCAGAGGGCTTGCTCTTTGATGTCTTTGCTGATAGCATGATACACCATGATGGTAAGTACAAAGATTGTTATCGATGACATCCAGGATTCCTATTGCCTGTCCTTTTTTGGTAACTCAGCTGATTATATAATATTTTTAGGGTGCGGCGGGAAAAAAATGGCGCAGACAAGGTTTTCCAAAAATGCTGTAATATTAGAATTAGACTGAATTCCAGTGAATGTATGATTGCCAAACAAATATACTGATAGCATAGCCCTCCATCAGGAAAAACCCTTTTGCTATATAGCGCTATATAGCCACCACCTATATATATAAAAGCATTCATAGAAACTATAGTACTATCAGTGCAATCATAGCTCTTATAGCTCTTATAGCATAGTAGTAGGCAAAATCTTAACCAAGGGGAGAAGTATCTATAATTTGCTCAAACTCTGGATTAATCTAATAAATTTCTTCAATAATAGAAAGAGGCCGAAAGTGTTTGGAGTCAAGTATATTATTATAGGCAAGGTACTATAAGTGCTCTTATAGCCTATAGCAGCCTACATAGCTCCTATAGCTGTGAAGGTTATAGTTATAATATAGTTCAAGGTGCTTAAAAGGGCTAATAAATCATACAGTATTAATTAATTATATAGCCTGTATTAGTGAGATAGTAGTTTGTATCTTTGTATCTTTGATATTTATAAAATAAGAATAATGATTTATCCAAATATAAGTAGTGACAATGAGTAAAAAAATAATCTAAGTCCATGAAAGGTCAATATATAACACCTGTATGATATATTTTATAAGCTCTCATGATGTAGTGGATAAATATGATGTGTGGTGATGGGTTGCTCAGTCACCCAAAAGCTGACTAGCAGGTTGAGAGTTCAAATCCTGTCTGTGTTATTTTTTTTCTATCAGCCACACAACAATTTCCAACAACACCCCAGATTGCTCCTCTTTTTGTTTACAACGATCTTCTTGTGCCGCTTTTGCTGCATCCAAAGCGGTTTGATGCTCAACCACACGGTTATAAAATTCATCACCTGTGAGTAATCTCGGCAGTCCATCACTGTTTAGCTCACCCTTCTTTCTTCTCTTCTGTTTTTCCTCCTGCGCTGCCAGCTGACCTGACAGACGATCACAAAACATCGACCGCAAAACAACAGTTGACTGCATTCCAACAAGTGCATTTTTTGATGCAAGCTCTCACTTATAGGATTTGTGTAATGCCGTTTGGTAAGCTTTCTCTTTTTTGTTTGCTGGTTCTTCATCTAGCAGAGGGTGTGTGCATTTGCACCATGTTGGGGAGATTTGGGATGGTGTGAATGGTGGGAGGTGATGAGATGAGGTGACTGGGGTATCCGCAACAAGAAACGAAGCTGATGTAGATGCAAGTGATTTGACAGCGTCTTTTGCCACTGTGTGCCAAAGTGGTCGATGCTGCTGTATTGAGGTGTTTCCGCAACCCAAGTTGATGAATGGATTGTTGTTGCTGTCCTGGCTGGTAGGTTGACTCGTATGGGGAGTTTGTGACAGTCCTGGCATGGGAGTTGATGGAAATGGGGTGCATTGAATATCTTCGGCCTCGTTTCAATACTGACACATAAGAGACGTGATGACACAAACAGGGCTCGGCTGTGGAAGTGGCAGCTGACCTTGAGATGATGTCTCCAAGCTTGGGGCAATCATCTCTTCGGTAATGATGTTTCGGTCAAGTGGCCAGACCCCAGTTGCTCTGAATGCAGAAAAAATGGTTTCAGGGGTGAGTGCTTTGAGATGAGCTCTTTCATAGATTATAATGAAGTTGTTTTTAGTTATTTTTTGATGTGTAGAACTCTCAAAGCTGTCACGTGCCTCCGTCCAATAATTCTTCAATGGACTGAAGACAACAATGTCAAGGCCTTGATAGATGTGAGTGGCATGTGCGGGATAGCATAAAACATGAATAATATGTTCCCTGGCGTAATCTAGGAACTCCTTTGTGTAATGGGAGTTATGGCCATCAACAAGGAGAAGACAAGCTCGTCCGTGCACTTTCTCGCGGGTTTTGTTGTTAAAGTCTTCAATCCAAAGTCGTCCAATTGCACCATCAGGCCACCCTTTGGGCGAATGAGCAACTCTATAATTATGTGAGTCCTTAGTATTCTAGTCAGAGGCCCAGCAAAGCAAACTCACAAGGCTTTCAGAGTATTGTCTTGATGCCAATTCATCAAAAATGACTTCCCCTTATAGATAATAGTTGGCGCAATTGATCCACCATCAGCGCAGATGGTCACCATCACAGTGATATTCTTGCAATTTCCATCCCGCTGCTGATGTTGCATCTTCCTTTGTGCAGGACCAATGACACGCTGTTTGCGTCCATTCCCAGGCTGGAAGCCAGTCTCGTCTGCTGCCCAGATGCAGTCCTCGACAATATTATTATCCTTGATGGTGCTCTCAAGTAAGTTGCACCATGCTTTGTGTGTGTGCTTGTTGACTGCCCGCCCACGAGCAGAATCAAGTGGAGAACTCCAATATGTGCCCAAGCGCTCTGAGTGTTGATTAAGAAAATGCCCAGTCCAATTCATTCCGACCCCTGTCTCTGGGAAAGAATTGCCAAGTCGTGCTTGTAGGAGGGTGTCAACATGAAACTTGAGCCTTTTGTGATCAAGTGGGAAGCCTCTTGCTGCAAGGTCAAGGCATTAGTTCATGATGCTCTCCTCCTCTTCAGATGTAAGCCAGGAATGATTTTCTTCATTTGCTTGTTGACAGCTTCTCCCACCTCCAAGTTGTCTCATAAGAGTAACCCTGTCAATGGTAATATGCTTCTTCTTCCTCTTGTTCATCTCTTCTTCTGCCTCACGACAAATTGCTTGCAGACTCCTCTGATCTTCCTCTGGCTTCTCTTTGTCATCATTCCACAGTTTTATTGCATATGCGAGACCTTCTTCTTTATCAAAAAATGCAGTACGTTGCTTCTTGCACTTGGATTTTGCACGGCCAGCCATAACTTGAGTGCATTGTAAACACAGTGAGCATTTTATTTGCCGTAATATTCAAGTCCCTAATACTGACTATTCCATAATAGGTATATCTCGTTTACTGATAAACAACTTGACACCCTTATTGACTTTCTTCATCGGCACTGTAGTGGCAAGATGAGGAGTCACTGATCTTCCAATCAGGTATTGGGACCACGAAGCCAAGAAGCAAATGTAAATATTCCATTGGTTAGAATGGCTACAGTATTTGTATTTCCTGTAGTAGCTATTAAACTTCGTGATTTCAAGGGTAAAATACTAATCATTAGTTTAATGGTGGCCTCGAGTGAGTTCTATCTTATGGCCAAGCATAGCATTGTATTGTATTTCCTTGCCTAAACTGTTGTTTTACTTGTTGTGACTGGAATTCATGTGTAATTTGTGTTTGGTTCAAGTGTTGGTGGTGGTTCAAGTGCCGGTAAATAACTGTAGTGTCCATCCAATTGGACACAAAGAAAGTGCAGGACATTCTTCACCGTTAAGTGTCAATGAAAAGATCACTGTCTCAAACAAACTGTTGTAATTCCCCCTTCAACATCTTATTCAGATTTGCAAACAATATGTCAACAACACAACCTGATTACACCCAGTACTCAGACACAATCAAGCCACCCAAAGAAAAAACAAACAAGTACAAATTGGAAGTCAGTTCTAAACAAGTTGTGACAAGGAATGCAATGGATCAAACCTGGTCACTCAGATATACACTATAGTCACTATGATCATACTATAGTTGCTCTTATAGCGCTATAATAGTCCTTATTTGCACATATGTATAAACCCCTCTGTTATATAGAAAAAGGCTTTTTCCTGATGCTGTGGGACCAGGAATATAGTCAAAAAATTATGGTGGTCATTTGGTTACTATTGTTAGACAATAGGTGCAATTGATCTGGGGAGAGGTAGAATAGCTCACCAGTTGTTGAGCTTCAGACTGTGGGAACTTGACCAGTAGATATAATTTTTAGTTTTCTAGCTGCCTATGTAGAAAAATAAGCAAGAACTTGAATCATGAGAGTAGCGGAATGAAACCAAAAAGTACACACTTTGAAATGGTCCTGCAATCTCTGGTCACACTGGGTCACAACAGCACTCACAGACAAAATCAGGCGGAGCTTACCACACTATGAGCAATGCCCAAAATCCCACGCTGTGACACGCGTGGACCAAAGCACAGGATGGAAACCAGTGGCAGAAGTGTAGCACAGTGAACCAGGGGTGCAGAGACTAACATATATAGTAGATTATATAGTGTTTATCAACATTTTAATCATAGCATCCATGGGTGCAATTGTTTGGTGATAAACTAAGAAAAGTTGACATATTCATCCCCTACAAGCAAGCACGACAATCCCGCTATTTTAGAAAAATACACCACATTTCCTGTTCAATGCCAGTATGGCATCAAATGGCCAATTACTTCTCTATTGCATATTGCAATGCTCAACGTGCCATTGGTGTATACTACAATGGAACAGCCCGTTCATGAAAATGAAATGCTGCAAAGGGCCTAGTCTATCCTTCAACACTGCTGGTTTTTTTTCACGGAACCATCACTGTAGCATACACTTCTCCCACTGGTTTCTATCCTGTGCTTTGGTCTGTGTATGTCACAGTGTGGGATTTGGGCATTGCTTGTAGTGCTGGTGGAATTCTGCCAGGTCATACCAAGTTTTGACACTGGTATGTGCGGTATGTACCAAAGCAGAGCTAGCGGGCCATGAGTGATTATCTTGTTTCAGTCGCCTAGTCACAACTTCATCATTGTTCTCATTTCTCCAGACACTTTGAGGCCTTAATCAGTTCAGTAAGTATCTGGCATTGTAGAGGCCTACCTAATGATGTTTCCTAGAGAGAAAATGCAATATTCCCAGCACAAGATCTGGTCAAATCTGGCCATCTTTCTCTCAAAACTCACACTACTAGAGTTCAAGGATGTAGTCTCAGGTCTGTAGTTGTTGCTACAGATAAGCTATTCACTAAATTCTTTCACAGTTATATTCTCTATACTCTACATCTGACAATTTTCTAGCTACAGTACCTGTACAGCAATTATTGAGCCTCTGGAGGCCCAAGTGCATATATTTTACTGGTTGCATCCAGTGTCCAACAATAGTACAGTTGAAAAACAGTCAAATCCAGGTCTGCCAGAACATTATATATCTGTTCCTGATGAACTCTAATGTAAATGTATCCCTAGGTATCAGATTTGATATTCTGAGCTTTGCATGATTAAATTAGAAAATGTATTCTGGTCAAAGAGATTCAGGTTTTGACTTGAGTGAGTGGTGGTGCCCAGGTTTGTTGGTTCAAACCTGTTTGAACCCAGTTTGGGCAACAGCAAAATGCTTGAATCATGGACCAAACCAAGGTTTGGTTCTGAACCATTTATCCGAACTGAAACTTACCATCCCTAGACTTGGTGTGTAGCCAACTGTGTTGTTCTGGTTCACAAAGCTTGTCAAGTTAACTATATAATGCAGTGGTGGTTGAGCTAGTTCTGCTTGTGTGACTGGACTAATGTGTTGCTTAGGCAATGAAGGATCTGATGGAAAGAATATATTAGAGCCAAAATGAAGGTGAAAAGAGAGACTCACTACTACATTGTGCAGCCAATGTTGCCATCTTCAGTCCAGAAGAGATGGTAAAGTCTTGATGATTAAGTCATACTAGCAAGATTGTGATTGTGATTGATGAGATTATCCACTCACCAACATCAGGAAAAACACTTTGGCTATATAGACTCAATATAGTTGTCATAGTGATTATAGCTGCAAAAGAAACCCCAACATCTATTTAGGAACAATATGCTCTTAAAGTACTCTTATAGTTGGCTATAGTCTCTTATAGCACTTGTAGCACTTATAGCATATGGCTGACTATATGAGCTATAAGAGAGTATGTGGTTGATTTAAAAAAAATAATTACACACACAAGGTTTGAACTCTCAACCTGTTGGTCCGCTTTTTTGTTAACCAATCAATCTACAGCCATATACCACACATTTATCCACCACACCATAAAGGCTTACAAAATATACTATACATATATAATATATTGACCTTCCATGGACTTGTCATTTTTTTTTACACATTGTCACAACTTATACTTGGATAAAGCATTGCTATAAATATGCACTATAGCCTCAACAGCTATATAGGCCATTATAGCTATAAGAGCCATTATAATGCCTTGGCTAACTATATAACGTTATACTGGTGCTATGTGTGCTCAAACTTATAGTACTATGAAAGCTATAATAGCATTTATAGTAATGCCACTACTATATAGCACTATCAGAGCTATAATAGCACAAATAGTATCACTTTTGCTATATAGTTCTATTAGAGCTATGATAGTATAAATAGTGTTGCCTCTGCTATATTGCCAAAGTGTTTTTTCTGATGCCATAGTACTATAAGAGCTATAGTAGCATCTATAGTAATACCTCTGCTATATAGTACTATTAGAGCTATAATAGCATAAATAGTATTGCCTCTGCTATATAGCCAAAGTCTTTTTCCTGAATAATAGCTATTCCTAAATCAAAGATAGGCCTTGAACCATCCTCAGGCTCATCATTAATGTGGCCTGTCTTTTTCTGATAGTGCTCAGTGCAAAACAGGCAACAGTTGCAGGCAGTCCTATTCACACCCTTAAAGTAGAAAAAACTGATAGAGCAGTCATATACAGTCTTGCAATAATCACAAGTCTGGTTGATGGCAAGATTACTGGTGGGTGTGAAATTGGCCATTATGGTGAGTTTTCTCTTACTTTTTGTGCTCCATTTATACTGATTATTTCTTATTCAATAATGGCCCACCACTATCAGAGCTGGTGCACTGGTTTCTTTTTCCAAACCCAATCCCTAAGCATCCCCTATGTATGTGTCTGTGAAAATCATGTTGCAGGTACACAATTTTAGCCGAGTGCCTCACTGTGCATTATTATACATATTTTGTATGGCAACTGCCGCCCACTATGTGATACGTGCACCACCATTGTTTTACCAAGGACAAACCAGTTCACTACAGTGTTTCTTTTAAATTTACTATAAATTTATTCTAGTATCACTCCTAAATCTTTTATAGCAGAGTTTCCACTTGTTCAAATTTGGAAGGCAGACACGGTGTGTGCTTACCAGCATGTAACTGCTCATCTTCATCATTTGGTCCATTACAGTCTCATTAGCACCCAAAAACATCATTCATCTTTTTGTCAAGCAGTTTTTTGCTGAAGGCTACAAAAACCTGGAAATTATGATGAAGTTGAGAGATCATTATGATGTGGAGTTGTATAATATGTCATAAGTCTATCATCTGCCTTTGTGGTTATTCCTACAATAATAGTTCTGGACACAGGCTGTTGCTTGTGAAGAAAAAACAAATGATTTGGGGCACAAATGCTATACAAGGGTCTGCACACACAATGAGGAGCATCAGTCAGGGTATTGAATGCCTTTGATTAAGGTTCCCTATGCAGTGATCACATGATATAAGGCTGATATTACAACAAGGGAACATATATGTATGCTTCAAGGTAAGATTATTGATGTCTTACTTAATCTCATATTAACCTTTGCAGAGAGCTCATTCTCCAGTACATGAACACTCATCATTGGAAAAAAGTGGCCAGTTCCCAGAAATGTTTCCGTCCCAGCACAACACACTACATTTTCTTGTCCTTATACCACCACCATCCCAGTACCACCACCATGAGCCTTTTACAGCAAGGCCCTATATATACATTTAACCAACTCTTTTTCAGGAACTTGTGGACTAGAAAGAGGTTCAAGATTATCCCACTAGACACAACATTGGCTTTTTTCTATAAGGACCTCCCAAAGGATTTTCAGTGGGTAAGATTGTTTCTCATCTTGTCTTTATATTTTCTAACCCTTGTTTTAGAAATATGCTTCTGATGTTGCTATTATGGTGAGTACCGCAATACTTCATTTATGTTGCCTG